GCGCATCCTGGCCCAGGGGGCTCGACACTTCTGTCCTTGCGAACCATAAGCGACAGTGGGTGGTCATCTCTGAAGCAAAAAGATCCACCTCTGCTCTTCCAAATCGTAGCCAGATCTCCTGCACTACATCTGGATGAAGCCTCCATTCTCCTGGATGTACTTGATCCCTGGAAAGAGCATCTGCTGTCTGGTTGCACACTCCTGAAATATGAGCTGCCCTCAGTGAAGCGAGTCGTGGCTGACACCATGTCAGGATCTCGTGAGTCAACCATAGAGACCTGCGGGATCTCGTGCCGCCCTGGTGGTTCAGATGGAACACTGTTGAGGTATTGTCTGACCGAACAAGAACATGGCGGCCTGCCAGAACCGGCATGAAGTACTTTAGAGCCAAGAACACTGCCCTGAGTTCTAGCAGGTTGATATGTTCCGCGGCCTGGATCGGAGTCCAGCGCCCGGAAATACCCCTCCGATTCCACGTTGCCCCCCATCCTGTGAGGGAAGCATCTGTCGTGACCAACTCCCGACGAGAGGGAACAACACCCAGGGGCACTCCTGCCTTCAGAAACTCTAACTGTCTCCACCGCCTCAACGCACATATGCAACGGTGAGAAATTAGCCGCAAACTGTTGTTCCATAACTGGAGTGGTCTGAGATGGAGTAAACCCAGGGGGATCACAACTGTAGCCGCTGTTAACATCCCTATCAGTCGTAGGACCACCTCGTACTGCAAAGACACACCCGGACGAAAGCGAGCCAAAAGTTGTAGAATGTTTGTCACACGTTCCTGAGACAGGGAGGCAGACATTAGGCAGGAATTCAGGGTCATTCCTATGAACGTAGTGGTCTGTGATGGAATCAAACGGCTCTTTTTCTTGTTCACAGAAAACCCCAGCTTCTGCACATGTCTCAAGAGCAGTCTGGAGTCTTGTACGGCCTGCTGCTCTGTGGGGGCACAGAGAAGCCAGTCGTCCAAATAAGGAAGAATACGCATACCTCTCATCCAAAGAGGAGACAGAGCTGCGCTCACACACCTTGTGAAGACGCGAGGAGCAAGGGAAGGCCGAAGGGTAGCACTTTGAACTGGTATGCTTGATTCAGGAAACTGAAACGTAGAAACTTTCTGTGATGTACAGCAATTGGGACGTGAAAGTATGCATCTTTCAGATCGACACTTACAAACCAATCGTCTGCTGTCACAGACCGGAGAACATCGGCTGTGCGCAGCATTCGAAAGGGAAGGACCTTCAGGAACAAATTCAGAAGCCTTAAATCGAGAATTGGACGGAAACCCCCGTCCTTCTTTGGAACAAGAAAATAAGTTGAATAGAACCCGTCTCTCTGAACGAGGGGATGAACTTTTTCTATGGCTCCCTTCTCTAACAGTGAACAGATTTCCAGAGAGAGAGCCACTGCGCGAACCGCGTCTCTGACAATCGTAGGAACAATTCTTGAAAATCTGGGAGGCCGGCGCCGAAACTGTAGAGTATATCCCCTGCTCAGAGTCGCCAACACCCAGGGGTCTGCTGTGTTGGATCTCCAGTACTCCAGTTGCTCTACAGAAAAACGATCGACCACCGGCCTGACTGTCTCAGGCTTTACGTGTGCGATTTTTAGTGGTCGCGGGGGGACGCTGACGGGGCCCTCCCGGAAACTGTCGATGAGGTGGGCGAAAAACTCTCGCATCTTCAGGAACACGAGGTCTTTGAGGGGGCTGTGACTGAGGTGTAGCGTGCCGGCGGAAACGCTGCTCCGATGCGGCATAGTGATGTCGGGTCTGAACCGCTGGCATCCTAAAGGTAGGGTTGCGCTGCACCTGTGTCAGCTGACGAGTGGCTTCAGACAGCTTTACCCGCTTTTCCAACAGTTCCGGAACATTTGGACCAAAGATATGCCCGGGAACAAAAGGAAGATCTCTCAAGGTTTTCTTACAGTCCTCCGGCAGTCGTGCTTGGGCAAGCCACACTTGGCGGCGGGTCACATGGCCTGTTGCCAACAGAGCAGTTTGCAGAAATTGTGAAATAGAGGGATCTGCATTTGCAGGTTTCAGCGTACTGGTGGCAGCAAGAAGTAACTGGCAGATCGTGTTTTCTGCTCGAGTAATGTAGGCAACAGACTCGTATGCCTTTTTTAGCAAGGAATCCGTACGACCGCATTGCGCACTGGGGCATCGCACATTCCCTCGTAGAGCCTCATCAGGAGAGACCACCAAAGCTGCCACAGGCTGCTCTGCAACATCCATAGGATCCCCATGATCGTGAAAAAAGGAATCTGAAGCACTTGTAGAAAGCACATCAAACTCTGAACAATGAGAAAAACAAGGGGAATCAAGAGACTCTTCCCCAGCTCCCTGGTTTTGAACATTCTCATCCTCCTGTGTCATCCTCTCAGGTGTAGCAGATGTGACCGGCTGAAGTGAGTGAAGCAGGCGTTTCAGCTCTGCCATCTCTGAAGAAAGCACCGACACCGTCATAGAAAGTGAACCTTTTCTCAACATGTGAATGTTCATCATCTCGCGATTTGGCCTTCTTAGCTGGGAGGGGAGCACCAGCTGCTGCCGACGCCCTGCGCTTCCGAGTGCGCGAAGGGGCTACATCTAACTGCCCTAGTTTCACTGTAGAATTAGGGTCTAACTCGGCAAGACGGAGCCGTCGTTCCGACATAGGCAAAAGGCTGCAGTGCATGCACGGGTCCGTGAGAGCCTCTCGCAGATGTTGAACACCCAAACACGACGGGCAGATGTCATGACCGTCGTCAGGGAGAAGATTATTAGGGCACAGCTTACAAGTCTGTGGAAAACCAGTGGCTATCGAGCTGTGAGCCATAGTTACTCGCTAATAACACCCTCGGATAGTACCGTAAGGTTAAGTTAAGCGGGATGAAAAAATAATTAAAATAAAATAAAACGATTACCTCGGGTGAACCGACAGGTAATACCAACAAAAATTTTACGAAAAAAGATAAAAAGTGTCTAAAATGGCCGGCGGATTGAACCGAGGGACAAAAAGTGTTACATGGATACGAGGAAAAAACACTCTAAGTAGATAACTTACGTCAACGGGAGACCGTTAACTCATAGCGCGGCAAACACAAGCCACCGGATTGCACTGAGAGGCACAGAGTGTTACAGACGAAGAAATATGAAAAAACAAAACTCACCAAGTGCCGTTAATTTAAACCCAAATTCCTTGAAAATCCAAATCCTTGAAATGGCGTAGACAAGCGCTGTCACAGCTTGTGAGGACGAATCTCGCTGCTCTTGTAAGCTGCACTTGACAGCGCGTCACTCAACCAATACAACCTATCTCAACTAGGCGAGAAAGCGAAAGAGGTAGAGTACTGAGCTACTGTAGCTTTACCCTCCAGGGCTCAGCATACGTCACGCCACGTGACTTTGTTGGTATATTCTCTCGACCTATCTAGCTGGCGCTGCGATAATCCATAGTGTTTACACTGCCTCTGGCGGTCAGTAAGAATGAAACAGAAGTTCATTTTGTGTTGTCATCATGAAAGCAAATACTATACCGTTCAAAGGTTTGGGGTCAATAGTAGTTTATTCTGCAAGGATGCATTAAATTGATCAAAAGTGACAGTAAAGACATTTATAAAGTTACAAAAAATATATATTTCAAATAAATGCTGTTTTTTAAACGTTCTATTTATTGAAAATCCTGAAAAAATATGTTTCCACAAAAATATTAAACAGCACAACTATTTTCAGCATTACTAATAATAATAAGAAAAAAAATATTGAGCAGCAAATCAGCATATTAGAATGTGACACTGAAGACTCGAATAATGATGCTGAAAATACAGTATATTATAATAGCAAAACAGTTGCTTTAAATTGTAATAATATTTCACAATATTACTGTTTTTGCTGTATTTTTGATCAAATAAATGCAGCCATGGTGAGCACACGAGACAAAAAAAATCTTAAACTTTTGAACAGTAGCGTATACAACAAATCTTTTTGTTCCCTTCAGTGTTTTTGTATGCTTAATGACAACCCTCATATCCCAAAATATAAGTCGCCATTATTAAATGTGAACAGCTGTTTGTAAACACACAGTGAGCTCAGAGGCCAACACCCCTTGTGCTGTGAGCCAAAGTCAGCTCAGTCATGTGACCTTGCCGAGTTTCCTCCAATTCTTAATGCAGCGAGCATGGCAATAAACAGCTCAGAGGTGTACAATGGGCTCACATCTGAACAATTCACCACAAAAGGGCAAGTTTATTTAGGAAACATGTGCCAGAGCAGATCTGTACATGTACACTGTACACTTGGTAAATATGATTTCCATGAATTTGTTTAAAGCTCCACACTTATTGATTTGCATTTTTTTCTGGCAATATATCATCATAATGTTCTGGATATCAGATATATGGCTTATCTGGGACTACAGGGTGCTGTGTGACCTCAATAAACAGACTTAAACATCACAGGAACCTTTTAAAAGCTTTTTTTTCTTTAACTTGTTTACATTTTCATCTGGCAGTATTGGTAGCAATGCAGGGGGGTAAATGTAATAGATACCACATGTCCCAAATGACACCAAATTGACATTTGGTTATTTAGTAAGACAACGTTTCATGCCTCAGCCTCACTCAATTATTTGTTCTTGGTGCTTGTTTGTGAGTAAAAGCTTCCCCTAGTTTGGATTCGTCTTGTATGCAAGGCCTTGCATCATGTGCTCTTGTTTTGTTTTGGGTTTGAAACATTTGGCAGCATTTATTGATTCCTTTCTGCCTCTGGGTAACACTGGGAGACCAAATCGCAAGATCTGTTTCACTGCCTGTAGCTTTTTGTAGACACACACAAACAACCAATGCCACAGTGGCTTTCTCAAGATCATTTCGTATAGGCTTTATATGTACTTCCTGCTATTTTAAGCAAGCACTGAAAAGTGATAGTCTTAATGTAGAAGTCTTTATCAATAGTAAAGGACCCATTATTCAACTTGTAAACTCCCACTCAGCACTCTTTTATTTTTGTTTTATAGGCAACCAGACAAACTGAGAGTGGTGTGGACAAGGAGGAACAGACGCATTTGCTCCAAGGTACAAAGATAAACAATCTTTAATTGTCTATAAAATCCCAAACCTGACTTGATTTCTTCCATTCCAGATAGGAGCACACCAAAACTTAGTGATTAGGCAGTTGATCAAGAATTGAGTATTATTTTATGAATCTTAATCTTTAATTACCATTGTGTATGAAATGTGCTATATAAATAAACTTGCCTTGCCTATATAGATATATAAATAAGATATTTTAAGTAATATTATTTAATATTAATCAATGTTGTTTTTATTGACACACATTATAAATAATATACAAAATATTATAAAATATAAGTCTTGTTCTAGATACAAAATTATTCATGAAAGCAAAGGTAATTTAGTTTATGACTATGCATGTCCAGGAATCCACCATTTCAAGTTGATTTTCTTCCCAAGCGTTCAGTCAGAACAGTGTACTGACACTTAAATTATTATGTTTAACAATGCTTTATTTACAGCGATTTACAAGTGCTTACAATGATTACAACTGCTTTACAATGTGGATTATTATAACTGACAGTGTTGTTATTTTCTCATCAGCTTCATGCATGGCAGCCAGGCATCAAAAATCCCTACAGGGGAATGGTGGTGTGGCCCGTACCTGAGAATGTGGATATTACCGTCACACTCTACAGGGTATGACACCTATCGCATCTTATTATTAGCTATACGATATATATATATATATATATATATATATATATATATATATATATATATATATATATATATATATATATATATATAAATATATTGCATGAACTCATGCTATACACAACTTGTTAAAGATACTGACAAATGCTGACCTATACTAAAATTTGTCAGCAAATTTGTTGAACTTTTTGAATATGCTTTTGTTTCACAGGACCCACATGCAGATGAGTTTGAAGACAAAGAATGGACATTTTTCATTGAGAATGTGAGTTTTTTTTTAATAAAGATTAAGTTTGATTCATAGATTCAGCAATGTTCTGGAAGCATTCCTCAGAGATTCTGGTCGTTATTGACATGATAGCATCACACAGATTTGTCGGCTGCACATCCATGATACGAATCCCCCATTCTACTACATCCCAAATGTGCTCTTTTGGACTGAGATCTGGTGACTGTGTAGGCTATTTGATTATAGTAAACTCATTGTCATGTTCAAGAAACCAGTTTGAGATGATTTGAGGTTTGTGACATGGCACAAAATACAGCTGAAAGTAGCCATCAGAAGATGGACGCACTGTGGTCATAAAGGGATGGACATGGTCAGTAACAATACTCAGTTAGGCTCTGGCATTTAAACAATGCTCAATTGGTACTAAGGGGCCCAAAATGTGCCAAGAAAACATCCCTCACACCAATAAACAACCACCAGCCTGAACCATTGATACACAGCAGGATGGATCCGTGCTTTCATGTTGTTTACAACAAATCCTTACCCTACCATCTGAATGTCTCAACAGAAATCCAGTGGTTATTTGAGTTACATTTCTATCAGCTCGAACCAGTGTGGCCATTCTCCTCTGACCTCTGGCATCAACAAGGCATTTTCCCACAGAACCGCTGCTCACTGGATATTTTCTCTTTTTCGAACCATTCTCTGTAAACCCTAGAGATGGTTGTATCCTAGTAGATCAACATTTTATGAAATACTCAGACCAGCCCGTCTGGCACCAATAACCATGCTACATTCAAAGTCACTTAAATCACATTTCATTTCTTCAAATTTCATGTTTCTGAAGCTCAGTTTGAACTTCAGCAAATCGTCTTGACCATGTCTACATGTCTAAATGCATTGAGTTGCTGCCATGTAATTGGCTGATTAGATATTTGCGTTAACGAGCAGTTGAACAGGTGTACCTAATTAAGTGGCCAGTGATGTGTAAATGTGTGTGTGTATATATATATATATATATATATATATATATATATATATAGGTAGGTAATTCAAAATGCAAACAGAACAAAATGTGAAAAATTTGCTTTAATTATTCTCAAAGTTACCTTCTCTGATGTTCTACAGGAGACAGCTAAAGGCAGTCGGAAAGTTCTGGCATCTGTGGACTTGAACATGAAGAAGTTTGCCAGTGCAACACACTCACAGACGGACCTGATGCTCAAAATGAAGCCTCTGTCGGTGAAGGTGGTGGAGGCCACGCTGAAGCTCTCCTTATCCTGTGTGTTCCTCAAGGAGGGTAAAGCTACGTGAGTTCTCCCTGTTGACCTCATCCACATGGAGTTCTTGCTCAGGAAGTTAGAACACTTGCATGTGGTGTTTAATTATCTAGATTCAATCATGTGGGAATGTGACCACAGCAAAACTTTTTTTGTGATTGCACCAAAACCGAATGCATGAAAATTGTTGCAAAAACAAATTGATTTCGGTTAAAAATATTTGGAGTGTGTTTGAATCCAACAAGAGAAATGGTTTGCTGTGGAACACTGGCGTGAGTTTCTTTCCTGATGTGCAGGTCAAGAAGCACGCAGAGCAGAAATTTCCAAAACAATACAGCCTTGTAGAGATGTAATGCAAAAGAATTTCGTGCCTAATCTCCATTAGATCAAATAACTTTACATAGCTTCTGGAAGTAAAGACGCACATACAATTCACATAGTAAGGTTTTCACAGCTGGTTCAATGAAATACCTACACCTCTTGACAAATAACCTTTATATCTCCTCACAGTTCTTGACCAGTTATGGGTTTCCTCTGTAGGGACGAGGACATGCAGAGTCTTGCCAGTCTGATGAGTGTAAAACCAACAGACATTGGGAACCTGGACGACTTTAATGAGAGTGATGAAGAGGAGGATAAGAGATCCAGTACTGGGCTTAATCTCAGTACTGCAGCTCCAGGTATTATAAAAAACTATGAACATATACAATGGGGACCAAACGTCTGAGACCACATTGAAAATCTGGGATTCAAAATACATTTTAAACTTGGGAATAACTTTTTGGATTCTGAAAAATGTGAAACAAGAAATATACATTGTTTTGCTGATAATATGATTTGTAATGAAAATTTAAAGCATTAAGTTGTACAAATACACATAGATGCATTTTCACTTGTGGTCTCAGACTTTAGGACCCCACTGTATTTATAAAACACTTGCATACTCATGTCTTGTATTCTTTATCTTATATCCTTATTCATCTGCCCTCTTGCATGAATCACTATTGATGCATGTATATTTTCTCTTACCATAGTAACCCTTACTTCCTCACATGCTAGAACTTCTCCTTCTCTCTTTCTCTCTCTGTCAGCACCCCACCTTCCTCTTCGACCAACACGCTCCCAAGAAAAGAGACCTGCATCTCTAAAGAGCCCTTCAGCAATAGGTACTTATATTTACTTATGCTCTTTCCATATTCTCTCTCTACACTCTTTTCAGTCATATCACGTTTCTGATCATACTGATATATTTTTCTTCCTTTATAAAAATTAAGTTCATATAAAACCACATCCAATTAATTATTTCCATTAACTGTTTCAGGAATATGATTTTTCACTGATGTGGTTTTGTTGCATATGATTATCACATTCATTCTTTGTCCTCATTTCAAAAATTGAAAGGGACTTGCATTTCATCATGAATTTCATGAAAATATTTTAATCTAATTTAAAGGGTGTAGTTTACCTCTCAATGAAAAAAATCATCATTTACTCATCCTCATGTTGTTGTCAGGACCCTCATGTCTTTTTCCTGGAACACAAAAGGAATTTTGAAACATATTCATGCATTCAACTCTTTTTCTTAACAAAAGTTTATGCTTCACGTCATTATTGAGATGCATTGTCAAATCTGAAATTGTGTCCAATTCAATTTGATTAGTTTAGATTATTGTAGAATGGTGCATAATTAATTCCAAAAATATTGACAATGACAAATTACATAAATGTAGCTGGAAAGACAACTTGCATTTGTCAATTCCTGAAAAAATGATACATCAGGCAGTCTCAAAGCAAAATCTTGGCTACGAAGTTAATGTACACTACTGTTCAAAAGTTTGGGGTCAGTTCATAAAAAAAAAAGTGTACTTTATTCAGCAAGGTTGATAAAAGAATCAGCATATCAGAATGATTTCTGAAGGATAATGTGACACTGAAGATGAGTAATGGCTGCTGAAAATTCAGCTTTTCCATCACAGGAATAAATTACATTTTAAAATGTTTTAGAATATTTATTACAAATTGTAATAATATTTCAACTTCTTCAACTTTCAAATTTTACCAACCCCAAAGTTTGAACAGTAGTATACATTTATTTTTTAATGTCGATGAAATAGATTTGCAAAATAAATGAAATCTGTCATATGTAATATATGGGAAATAATGACCATCTTTAAATCAAGCAGGGCCTGGGAATTTACTTTTTACAAAATTACTTTTTTGGGACAGACATGGCTACTGCGAACTGTTGTTGGAAAAGAGCATTAAATTCTCCTTTAGTGTTACACAGAAAAATAACAGCGTACAAGTTTGGAATAACATGAGGGTGAGAAAATAATATTCTCTTTAGGGTGAATTAACCCTTTAAATGTCTTTTATGACGATGCACCACCATCCTTAATGATACATTCATTACCTTTCTCACTCTCTCACCTCTATATTTCTCTTTTGCCTCATTGCTTTTCCTCAATACTGCTCTTTTACTTTCTCTTTCACTCCATTGCTGTCTTTCTCCCTCCATTTTTCATGCTAACCTCAGTCAGTGGTAAGGAGAGGCCTGCTGATGGCGTCCTCTCACGCCCAGCGTCTGGCACTATCCGTAACCCTGACCTGCCAGCACGTCCACCTTTACCCACCCCACCCAGTCCAACCCCTCGCACCATGCCCTCACCTGCCCGCTCCAGACCACCACGTCCACCACCCATTGCCCAGCGACAGGCCCCACCTGACTCCCCCACAGAGCAAAATACTACTGGTTTGCTCCCCCCAGCATTACCCAAAGTCTTCCAGCCATCCCCTGGCTCAGGTACCATAGATCGACTTAAATTAAACCGCTGGAGGTCAGCAAGTCGCCTGCTATACTGTTGGTTGCTAGTTGACGTTCCTACTTGATTACAGTTATTTGTATGTATGGTTATATGGCTCAACAACGTGTACTTCAATTGGAATTGAAGTTCTTCCCTTCTGATAAAATCACCATCTCAGCTACAATACCAAATTAGATGCATTAAATTGTTCAAACGTGACAGCAAAGACTATTTCCGCTATTTCAAATGCTGTTCTTTTGTCAAAGAATCCTGAGAAAAAATGTATCATGATTTCCTCAAAAATATTAGGCAGCACAACTGTTTTCAACATTGATAATAATAAGAAATGTTTCTTGAGCAGCAAATCAGCATATTAGAATGACTTCTGAAGGATCATGTGACAATGAAGACTGGAGTAATGATGCTGAAAATTAAACTTTGCCATCACAGGAAAAAAAGTTCATTTTAAAATATATTAAAATAGAAAACAGTTATTTTTAATTGTATTAGTATTTAACAATATTTCAGTTTTTACTGTATTGTGATTAAATAAAATAGATGTAAATAAATAAATGCCTTGGTGAGCATAAGAGACTTCTTACAAAAACATCTTACCAACCAACCCCAAACTTTTCAACGAAAGTGAATATTTATTGACCTTTTCGTGTTGCTAGTCTTATATTTCTTCATAAACACTTGTCTAAAGCACTGCACAAATGGTAATTGTTTCACTTGAGGAAGTGAAGTCATTTCAGCATTTACAGGTAGTCGGTAATTTTATTGCCATCTAAATATTGAACATTTTGGTAGTTTTCTTCCACTCATGAGAAAATTCCTGGCTGATTTGCGTACTGTTTTTGACAAACACCAGGGTCATGTGGTATAATTTTATTCCCTTCTGCATTGTCATCTTTGACTTTACATGGAGGATTTGGAAAAAGTTTTAGAATTTTTTTTAGATCACTATCTTTTTACTATCTTTTCACTACCCTATCAAAATTTGGGTATGTGGTGCGAAAGAAGTTGTTTCAGAGAACTGAGAACTGAAATTCACTATGGCCACATACGCATTGCAAACCGCATTTAAAAAGAACAAAGAAGAGTGAGAGCCGTATTTAGCTGCAGTGTGCATGCGTGAATTCATTGACATCCACATGCATGTGTTGCAAATGGACCCATGCAAATGTTCTTTTACAGCCATCACCCAGAGAAACAATTCTAATAGTGCTTGTGCATCTGTGTTTTTCTCGACAAAGCCTGGACTACATATTGTTTATCTGTCTATTTTTCCCTCTATGCTTATGTCCAGCTCCTGTGCCTTTTCCAAGAAGACTGTCAGGCTCCGAGGCCCCTCTGGAGGGTCCGGTGACCTCTGACTATCCTCTGCTCAAACTCCCTCGGGCTTCTCTTTCTTCCCCTTCCGATCCCTTCCTCTCTCACTCTCCCTATCTTCCCACTGTGCTCCCGAAAGGTAAAGACTCATGATTTCTAAACATTCACAGACCAAGTGCAAGTCAGAGTACATTTACTGTAATTCTAATAGGAATAGTAAATCTTAGCCTGACTCTAAAGGAAACTTTAAGATAGCTTTTGGAGAAGTCAGATTCATTTCCTCTAAGCCACTGTCTCTTGTTCTCACTTTTTCTGCATCTCTGACTAATCTTCTTTCACGTGGTCTGCGTTCTCTTTGTGTCATTGCACTTCTGTCTCAGATTCTTTTGGAGCACCTCGCACCAATGTTTTTAAGCCCAAGATTGTCCCAGGTGCTCGCCCTGTATCCCCCACTCCTGTCCCTCTCCTCGAACCCAAAACTTCTTCCCTCTCTCTTTCTGAAACGCTTAACCATCCATCTGCTGGCAGTGTGCCAGGTATTGAGAAATCTTCCAGACTGCATGTAAACAGTAGAGGCAGCAATACTAAAGTACAGTTAACAAGTGCACTTAAGGTATTAATGAACATGTTGAACAATTGTTCACAATCACTTCATTTAAATTTCCTTTAAAATGTAATGTTACTACAATACTTGGAATATATTAAATTTTTCTTTCTAAAGACTGGTCAGAAATTGTAAAAATTGCAATGACAATATAGAAGTAATTTTTTTTTTTTTTTTTACATTTAAAAATCATTTAAGTTTGTCTTAAAACTGTGTGCATGATTATTATGCAAGTCGATATTCTGTTCATATTTTTTCCAAGCACATTTTACCAATTCCAAACCACACAGAAAGTTAGTAACAACATCATTAAAATAGTCATCGTCAGAACGTAGGCTCACTATTGGCCAGCATCATACTCATGACGCTGGCCAATAGTGAGACTACGTTCTGACGTAGCGCTGCGCTGTTACACTACGTTAACTCACTCTGAGGCCCACACAGAAGATGATGAATAGTTGAATGAAGTCGTTATTTTTGTTTTGTTTTTGCGCACAAAAAGTATTCTCGTCGCTTGATAAACTTATGGTTGAGCCACTGTAGTCACTTGGACTATTTTAACAATGTTTTTACTAACTTTCTGGGCCGGCAGGTTTCAATTACAATAGGAGCCTATGGAGGAGTTAGACAGCTCTCAGATTTAATCAAAAATATCTTAATTTGTGTTCCGAAGATGAAAGAAAGTCTTACGGGGTTGGAACAACATGAGGGAGAGTAATTACTGACAGAATTTTGGGAAAACTAACTGTTTAAGACTAAAGGTGAAGAATTAGGTGTGAAACCATCAGGAACCCTTTAGTCTCCAGTGCCACCATTTTCCAGAACCTACTTGGAGTCTCTAGAAGTGTAAAGTGTCAGGTTCTCAGAGACATTGCTAAGGTAAACAATCCTAAAATATGACCCCGATTTAATAAGAATCAAAAAAAATCATGAAAATATGATCAGAATAACGACTTGCATAATAATTAAGCATGCACTGTATCATATATTATTTTTCTTAAACAGTAAACTTTTTTTTATACATACAAATATATAGCTGCCTTTATACTTAAGTAAAGGTTCCATCATCATATGTGATTGTCCCTTAAAAAGTTTGAAAGCCCCTTGATGTTTAGATCAATATTTGCTTCAGAAAAATATATATTGATTCAAACTGAGCCTCTAACACTTGATCAAGGAATGCCTGTTATTTAGTTTGATCTATCTAAAAACTTCCTTTGCCTGTTTTACTTCTTTTTGTATATATTTTCCATCTTTTTCTCACAGCTTTTGCAGAGCTAAATGAGCGGACGATGGCGGTTTCTACATCTCCTTTCTTCAGTGTCCCTCTAAATGAACCTGCTGTTCCTTTGCTGAGCAAACCAGATCTTGAAGCTCTTTGTGAAACATCTTGCCCTTCTAGTCAACTCCCCAAGCCACCTCCACCTCCCTCTGTCTCCCTTTCTTACCCCATTAGCAAACCTCTACCGGTCTCTTTTACCCCAGCAACTGTCTCCTCCTCTATCTCTGCTCTTGCCCTGTCAACCAGTGAAGCTCTCACAAATGCCCCCTGCTGTTCACCTCAATCTTCTTCTGCACGGTCAGGTACTAAACTGCCTATCGTTTGCTTTAAAAGAGACCATAATAGGAACTAGTGTGACTGGTGATAGGTCTAACGGTTATAATGTACTAGAAGATTTATTTTGCGATTTAAGGGTATATTTGCACAACAATGAACTAAAAACAGAAAAGTTTTTCCTTTGGGCTTTTGAAAAGTTCGCTTACAGACCAGAGTGTTGTTAATTTGAACACATAATACGCATGCACATGACGTCGCCGTTTCCACAAATTTGCGCCTTTGTAGTTTATACAGAGACCATAACAGTGTAATTTTCAAAAACTTGCACTTTGAAACTAGTTTTCAAAAGTTTGCATTTCAGGCCCCCAAAACGCTGTTCTCATGTAAATGAACGGCCAAAATGTATAAAAAGTTTTATTTTTAGTTGTCGTGTCGTGCAAACGCCCCCTAAATCGCATCTATCAATCATTAATTTAAGGTTTTTGTTGTAACTAGCTACAACCACCACACTCAACTAGATTATTGATTATTTATGCTTGCCATGTCATGCTAGATAGTCCCGCCCACAGGGAACTCTCATTGGTCCAAAATCCCACTTTAGAGATTGCTTATTTGCATAAAACTCTGCAATGACATCTCAAATCAGCTGTTGTCTTTGAAAATGAATTCAATAATTAAAACTTAATAAAACTAATTTAAAACTAAAATTATTTAAAAATTATTGTTTTTATTGTATGTTAATTGTTTTCCAGAAATACCCAGGGAGCTCAACACACTTACAGAGGAGGATCAAACAAATCCATTTTTACAAGGTGAATAAGTATTCTTCACTCTTGTCATTAATGATGTAAAAGGCCTAAAAATAAAAATTAAGATTGATTAGCTTTTATTTATTTTAATAATTATTCTGATTCAATTTGCTGTTTTGTTCCACAGATTTACTCACTGAAGAACCGAAGACCTCCGAGCCCAAACAAGAGCAACATCGGACAGTCTGCAGCATTAGCATAGTGAATCAACAATCTCCTTCCTCCCTCCGTCAACCTGAAACCAGCAGCACTGAAAGAAAAGAGCTCCGACCTGCCACAGCTTTAAAAAGGTGGGCACTTAAAAAACTATTTATTTGTTCTGGCATCAAGTATAATTCACTAACATACATTTTAACTTTAGAATTCAGTAAAAACTAACATAATATCAACTTTGCAGACACAGTCTGATTGGCAGAGGTGTATTCAGAATTTAGTATTTTGCTCTGTTTATAAAGCGTTTCTGCATGAATATGCATTTAAATCTTTAAATGAGAAAAACTGTTCCTTAATAACAATAGGGGAAATGCATGACCTTGTGATGAGCCTATCATTAACAGACCATGACATTTTCCTACACCATCTGTGTAAATGTTTGAACTCTCCATTGCTTTCCCTCACCACTCCAATCCTGCATCTCTTTCGCCACTAACATTGCTGCCACACAAAGTCCTGTCTAAGGAAAAGCTGCATCTAATCTTACCAAACACTGCCATGCTTTTTGGCCTCTCACCCTATATTTGACACCAAGTATCTTTGTCCCCCAGTCTTGGGCCTGTTGGCAAGTCATCTTTAGACACATCTGGAGTACCGCCTGTGGAAGCTCCCAGATCTGAGCAATTGGACACTGGGACTGTCCCTCCTCCACACCCATTCTCTGCTCCAGCAACAATACCTCACTCATCAGTGGTTTCCACTCTTACAAAGAAAAATCAACAAGTTTTTATTGCAGAGAAACCACCTTTGGCTGAGGAAGAGCCTGATTTTAAAATGGCTGATTTTGATAAAGTGATCATGACCTCTCAACCCATTAAATATGTTACTGTTAGCAGTCGCCCTGAGAAAGAACCACTCAAAATTGACACTGAACAGCCAATGCAGTCCAGTCTGGTTCAAACCTGTTCAATAACCGATGGTGACTTACTAAAGCAACCAGAAAACACAATAATTGAATCAGCAGGGAACGTTCCTTCAAAAGAGGAACCGAATGAGCAGAACGCGAAGGGTGCTCTGCTTTGTGCCGACCTCAACAAGTCAGACGAGGACAAGATAATCAAGAAATTTGCTTCAACTGTGGTTGCCCCTACAGAACAAAATATCCGCAACGTTTTATCCAGCTCATCACCTCAACAGCAAGAACCTACGGATCTTCCCAGGGGAAAAAGTCAAATGTGGGTGGAAGAAGTCCTTGCATCTAAGGTTGACAGTAGTTTGAGAGAGCAAAAGTCCCATAAGGATCAGCTGGACAAGATTTTAACTATTGTGGAAAGGTGAGTGTGTTGCTCGCATGGTACTATTACACTCCCAAACTGCTGCAAACTTAAACTTTCCTCTTTTGTGCTACTTCCTGTTTCAATAAACCCTTATCTGTCTTTTAATGACGTTCATTTGAATAGTTAGGCACATAAAATTCTGTTTTATAGATAACACATTTAAATATACTAACTGACCTCAGTATGAACAGATGGGTTTGTTATATCTTCTTTGCCAACCACAAAATTATACTTCTGTAGAATTACATCATCCACATCAATTCTCCAGAAATTTGTATTTGCACTTTCTAAACTCTTTACTAAATACTAATTTCCTTATTTTTCTCTATCTGTAACTATTTTCTTCCTGTCTCATTCTTCTGTTCCCTGTTATTCTCTCAGTCAAAATGAAATGGCCTTCACTCCAGATGACAGGCCTAGCGTTAGCCTCAAAGCAGCTGCCCCTCAGATAACAGCTCTGCCCAAAGAGCTTCCTCCTATTCATCCCCAATCCCTGGAGGAGCCCAAAGTCCTTAAATGCATCTCAGAAGAAACTCCAGCAGTCAGTGAACCAACTAAACCAGAGCCGATTGTAAAGGAGTCAGACAACACAGTGTTAACACAGAAAAGCATGGGGGTCCATTCACTTCCGGTCACCCAAGCAGAAGTGCCAATCTGGAGTTCTCTGGAAGAGAATGTAAAAGATCAGGAGGAGGAAATAAAAGATGAGGAAATAAATAAGCACAAAACGCCTCACAAGATGCCAAAAGAAGAAAATAAAGCTGAAGTTTCCACAAAAAAATCTTTAGATGGAGGGTAAGAGACATTTTGACAGTGCCCAACATGGTCTCTAATGTTCAGCCATAGCCGAGTGCTTGCATGCTTGAGTTTTGTCACATGTCTCATACGATTGAGTGTGTTAAAATGCTCTTTTGGGGCTTTTGTGCACTCTCATGCGTCAACAAGAGAGTGAGTTTGGCAAGCCATATTTGATGATTTGGATATAAACTGATATTGATATTGGTACTGAGTGTTATAGCAGGCAAATTAATGTGGATAAAGTTTCATTAATGAATGTTTGATCAAAACAAGGTAAGTGAAATGTGTCATAAACCCTATTCCTTACCTCACAGTGAAGAAAAAGCTGTAAACCAAATTGAGGGTGCTGAGAATCTCGTTTTAACTGAACCAGTGTCCCAGCAGCCCTCCAATGTCCTAAAACCACAACCAGCTGAGACAGTTAAGGAGAAAAGTAAAGAAGCTTTCAAAGTCAGTATACAGGTCCGTATGAAGCCTTCACTTCCTGTGATCTCCCCTGCTGTTGCTGCAAAGGAAAACAGGACATCACTGCATCTGGAGGAACTTTGCCCTCTGACGCCCAACCTGTCTCTGGATACCGAGTCTGACGAAAATGGTTTCAAGAAAGAGGTCACGTTTGAAACAGAGAGTGTGTTGTGGGCCACAGTAGAGGAGAAAACAAAAGAAAAAAGTGATGAGGTTGTTAGCATGGCCAAGTCGATACCAGAAAAAGAGGTCCTGGATAGGGGGTAAGTGCGTGAGGTTTGTTAACCTCACTGCATGGAGTTTTGTGTGGACTGCAAACTGGGCTTGCATAGATTCGTCCATACTATAGTAGTCAGTAAGTTTTTTTTTTTTTTTTTTAAACAGTTAATACTTTTATTCTGCAAAGATGCTTTAAATTAATCAAAAGTGACAGTTAATATATTGACATTATATTAACAACATAGACAATTTATTTATTTATTCTGCCTGTGCTTCTAATGGATCTCATAAAGTAAGCATTCGTTTTACTTGCTGGGAGTTGAGATGTTAGCGAGAGAGAATATTGAAATTCAAAGAATATTCTTATCACTTACACTTTTTGGTCCATGGCAGCCAATGTGGACAGGAAACATCAGAAACCAAGCAGGAGGGGCAAAAGGATTCCTTCGTTTTGTCCCCTTTCCACCACAATCTGACTAAAAATGCTATCAGAGAGAGCCAGAGAGAAAAAAACAAAGAGAAGACCCCTGAGGTGGAAGATTCAGATGATAAGATGCTGCTGCAAACTGGCAGTGAGAGAATTTGGACAACTCAAGCTGGACCTAAAGAAGATCTCAGGACTGTAGGTGTCTGTTCAGGGACTGAACTTGGCCTTGAGATTGATGTAGGAACAGATAAGGCCATGGACACATGTAAACAGGAACTTGACTCTGTTTCTGATCAGGAAGAGGTATCTGTAGGCTTCATAAGGGGGATTTTCGGTGTTCTGTACAAAGGGTAAGTGTGGGACAACTCTGAGACTTGCACAGAGCTTCTTTGGCCTTGGCATCTGCATGGCTATAATTTAATTTCCCCAAAACACTGAAAGGTTGTTATTAGGTGTGATTGTGCATTTGCAAGGAAGCTTTTGCATCCACAGTTAGGGTGTCCTGTAGTGATGAGAAGCATAGCTTGCTTGTTTGATTGATTAAATACTGGCTGGTGATTTTCGCGGCTAAATCAAAAACAGCCTTTTTTTGAACGGAAACCATTTGTTTTGTCATGGTGTAATGTAATTGTGTCATTTAAATGTCCTCGTCCTTTAGTTATGAGACCATGACATCTATACTACAGCAGCCAAGTGCTGCAGAAACCGATGTTCAAGATGACACAATCTTGGACAATCAAGATGGATCTGTGGTTGAAATTCTCCCTCCCGAGGCCTTCTGTGACACCAAAATGGAGCATCCAACTGATGATGAGCCACAGGAACACCTACTCAAGGATTTGTTACAGTCTAGCGAGTTACAGATAGCTATTCAGACTGCCGATCCGGTGTCCATGAGCTTGGTGGAGTGCTTGAAACTGGCTGCCAGAGAAACACAAAGCGGATCCATTCATTTCAAAGCCCAGGATGAAGGAAGTCCTTCTAAACAGAAAACCGCAATTGAGAAAACCCAACGTACATCAAAAAGAAATGACAAAAGCATGAAGATGGAATTAAAGTCTGAGAGTGTGATATCCAATGAAAAGATAAACGAAGAGACATGCTTGCCTCTGGAAACCACAAAAGAAGACATACCTGCTAAGAAAGGGGTTCAAAACGTCAGTGCTGTGGGAACGGATCATCTGGTGGTAGACTATGAGGAAATAAAAATACACGAAAGCCCAAAAAGAAATGGACATGGAGAACTTCTGTTTGGCAAGATGACTCCTGGAAAGATAAAGACAGCAGATTTAAGGCCTATGGCGGAGGAGCTGGAATTTGAACTGGGTCATGAAGACTTAGGGACAGTGTGGTCTGCTGAGCTATATATGGATGGAGCAGGGTAAGTGCATGACCTCTGCCTGCACTGCCTCTCATTTTTATGACCCTCCTTAAATGATCGCCACGATTTTGGCAGTGTTCCGTCTGGCTGACAGTCAAGCGTTCTAGACGTTATTCGTATTTGTCTGTGACATGGGCTGGTGGTGTCTGTGTGTGACATAAAGCAGTGTATGTATCTTATGTCTAAGAGGTGGGTTGGGATGCACTACCATTAAAAACTTTGGGTCAAAGATTTTTTTATTAATACTTTATTCAGCAAGGACACAATCAAAAGTGACAGTAAAGACATTTATAGTTAAAGGGGTCATATAATGCCATTTTTGTACAAGCTAATATGATTCTTTAGGGTCTAAATTAAAAGTTTGTAATATACTTTAATTAAAAATTCTCATTAGTATTGTAAGAAAACACTTATTTTACCTGGTCAAAAACAGCTCTGTTTTCAGCACGCCGTTTCAGTGTATATGACTTTAAATGATCATGAGCTTTGCTCACCCCGCCCCTCTGTTCTGTGCGTACACGTTTGTAACACAATACCATAACGTGTTGTTCATTATAAACGTGGGATTATGAATTATATGGAGAACGTCGTACATAGAAAACATGCAGTAATGTACCCTGAGTGTAAACCTTAGACTCATTCATCGTGAAGCGATTTGCAAAGATATAAATATTAATATAAAGTTTAATAAAACGTTACACTCACTTCAGTTGTTCTAGAGGTTCAGCAGGAACACGAATATCTGGTACCGATTCTTTATTCAGGAGCAGCTGCTTAGCAAAACCAGCTCATACTGACCCTCGTTTATAAAGCAGTCTGCTGAGAAATGATTCGCGCAAACATGAAAGCATTGACGTTGGTCGTGGGGAATATTCCCTTCGAAAACAAACTCAACCACTGCGTCTTCAGCGGTTCGGATTTAGGAACATTAAAATGACTGCTGTGTTCGTTATTACACCCAAGAACAGAACACCACAATCGCTTAGACGCCATTCTGCTCATAGACAGTGCTCCAGCATATCAACAATGACCGCGCCGGTCGGCGTGGACTATGATTGACAGCTCTCACGAGCGAGGGCGGGTCTGTGTTGAAACGCGCCTATCAATCAACAATCGCGGGAGGGGCGTCCGACCGTGTGACGTCACACGGTCGAACGGCTCGATTTGAGGCAGGGGAAAACATATAAGGAGATTAAAACAAAACCACTGGATGGATTTTTATCATGATGGTTGTGTACAGGCACTGCCAACACACATTTCAGTACAATCAACTTGAAAAAGTGCATGTACCATTATATGACCCCTTTAAAAAAATGTTTCTGTTTCAAATAAATGCTGTTCTTTTGAACTTTCTATTTATCCTGAAAAATCCTGGAAAAAAATGTATCACTATTTTTCACAAAAATATTAAGCAGCACAACTGTTTTTAACATTGATAATAATAAGAAATGTTTCCTGAGCACAAAATTAGCATATTAGATTGATTTGTGAAGGACCACGTGACACTGAAGACTAGAGTAATCACTGCTGAAAATTCAGCTTTTTTTTTTACTGTATTTTTGATCAAATAAAGGCAGCCTTGGTGAGAATAAGAAATTTCTTTCAAAAAAATCTTACCGAAGACACCAAACATTTGAGTGGTAGTGTGTTATGAGCATGAAACATATTGTGTTGGTTCCCTTTTTTTTTTTTTTTTTAAGTGCAGGCTTTGATTTTGGGCTCTCTGTGGTTTATCAAAAAGGACTAAACGGCAACTTCGCAGCTTGTTTGTCTATTTTGCAACTGCAAGCTTGCAAAAAATTGTTAGCAGAAAACATAACACAGCGACTGTGGGCTAACGCTGCTGTTTGTACCCCCTTGCTGGAACTGATTGTGCCATTTTCACTTAATTGCATTTTTACTGAAAAACATTTGCACGCTATAATAACCAAATTGGTAAGGTGCAACATTTTGATATTTTGTTCTGGTGTCCCATTTCTCACAGACCAGAGGAATCCTCAATACAGCCAATACCACAACCAAGAGATTTCACAGCCATACAAACACTAGAAGCACCTCAGCCTGCCTTTCCATCAGAATCTGTGTCTATATTAAAAGACACTACACTAACGGAAACTATTTCCCAACCTGTTAACAAAGTTATCCCTCCTTGTCAAGATGAGTGTAAGCAGTCACCACCCCCAGTGCCTTTACAGGAAGTCGGCCCTGATGCCATCAGTCAAAACTGTAGCGGTGCAGCGGATAACAAACATGTGGTTCCACAATACGATGATAAAGGAACCACTCATTTACATGTGACTACAGAGACAACAACTGTAAAGACTGCTGAGATATGCGATGATGTTGCAAAAGAGATGAGTGAGAATAACTTATCACCACTAGATGGCGACACTTCAAAAGTTGAGATGGAAAAAGACAGCAGCCCAGTCATCACTAAGGCATCAGAAAGCATTATTGTAGCAGCCACAGTGAAGCCAACAGATATAAACGTTGATGAGAATGTTATTTCCGGGCAGGACATTTCTCCGAGAAGCTCTGTGGTCCCGTGGCCATTCCCCTCTCCTAAACTTGAAAGACACAGTGAGCCAACAAAAGGTACAGAAAGTTCCAGTCTAAAGGATGACGACCTCTCAGAGGAGAATGTTCTGTTAGCAAAGATTTGTCAAATGGTAGAAGAGGAGACGACACAGCCTCCAGCTCCTGCTCCACGCACTAAGAAACGCTTGATCCCCTGCAAGTCTGATTTCGAACTTCCTCCAACTCCTCCCCTGCAACTCAAGTCTAGCATGAAACTGTCCATGGATGAGATGCAGACAAATTTAGATCAGACTGAGATCACAAATACTATTGGACCTCAACCATCAGTGATTTCTCAAGATGAGATGGATGAGAAAATTGACATCAGTCAGTCTCAGACTTCCTTTGTGCCACTGGAGAACTTGAAGTTAGATGATAGAGAAGCCAATGCTAGAAATGCTGTTTTAGATGATAATGTCCGGTTAAACAAGGAAGAACAAAATGTCCAGCTGGAATGTATGGCAGCTGAAAGGGAGTGCCAAGATACGCCAGCTGTTAAGCCCACAAACAAGACAGAAAACACAGAAACAGAAGCTGAAACTCAGAACAAGGAACAACCAGATTTAAGTATTGATAGTAGTGAAGAGGCTCAAATAGAGCAGGATAGACCACCATCAGTGCCTGATGAATTGTAAGTTTGAGTGGCGTGTAAACACTAAAATTCAGCCTTATCTTACCATATTATGTTGTTTGAGTACCATATTATATTGTTGAACACTGTGTATATTAATATTTGCATGTCTTTTCATCAACCTTTAAAACAACACCCAAAATGTTCTAAGCATTGCAGAGGAAAACTACCCATTTTGCATAGCAGAACAATTTCATTTTTACTTTAACTAGGTGAAGCAAAAACAATGATGAGGAATTGTGTATTTATTGTAGCACAGGGCAAAGAAGTCATGTCAGTATGTCTAACATATTTACTGTCCTTTTGACAGGTCTGGTCATCCTCAAGAAAAGGATTCCTCTAATGTAACCCCAGAGGCTAAAGGGAACGAGACACCATCTAGGAGCCCAGGCAGTGTGCAGGTTAATGGCCAGACCACTGTAGACGCATGTCACGTGATTGTGCCCCCAATGCGCAGTAAAAGGAAAATCATTCCACCACCTATGGACCTCACTATTGTAAAACAAATAGATGAATCAAATAAAGAGGGTTCAGCAGTGCCTGCATGGGATGTGAGTGGCATTTGCTGTTTAAAGTGCATGTTAAATGTAGACTGTGTTTTGTTTTTTCTAATCAGGTTTTGTTTTTTTGTCTTTCCATTTGTCACTATACAGTTTGCCAGTCCACTGCCCAGTCCTGGTCTGGTGACCTCCAGTCAGTCCTTGCTGAAGTGGTGTCAAGAGATCACTAAGAACTATAAGGGAGTAAAAATCACAAACTTCAGCACCTCTTGGCGTAATGGCCTGGCGTTCTGTGCCATCCTACATCATTTCCACCCTGAGATAATGTGAGTTTCATGTCTTTCATACCCAGCTCAAAACAAACTTATTCTTTCTTAGTATGATTCAATTTATTCAACAACCTAAAAAACTCTCTTATAGATTACTTGGTTCAATTAACAGCCATTTTGTACAAGTAAAAAAAAAAAAAAATATATATATATATAGCGATGCACTATGTATTTGTAGCATATCGGTTGATAGCTTTAAATTTAATACCTAATTCTGCATGTTAATTTTCTCTATTTTTTATTTAATTTATCTTTGCCATCACATAACACTCACTTAAAATCTTCAAAAACTAAAAAATTAATAACACTGGAAAATTTAATTTTCGGCAAATTCGAAATGAATATCCATTGTTTATATTGTGCAATATAATATAAAATAATTGATTTTATTGTTTTATTTTAATACATTTTATTTATACAAAGTAATGTAGAATATTAATATTGGACATTCATAGCTTATTGTTCATATATGACAACAATTACAGAATTAATTCAAATGAATTATAAAATGATTACTTGAATGAATCTCCCAAATACAGATGTTAAAACAAAACTAACTGCTAGGGTTCAAAAATTCTTTCAAAGGCTTTATTTGAATTTATTATTATTTATTCGTTGTCGTTAATAAATGTTTTACCATTAAAACATTCATTAAACACTGTAAAACATATCAGATTGAATGAATTTGTTATTATGTACTGACCCGGTTGTTGTTTTCCAGTGACTTTGATGCATTAGAGCCTCACAACATAAAGCAAAACAACAAAAATGTAGGTTTGTTTTAAGCAGATGTTCCACATGGACAATTTTTAACTATAATCACAAAATAAACCTCATCATTCTTGCTACCTATTTTTTTCTTCTCTTTCAGGCTTTTGATGGTTTTGCATCACAGGGAATCTCTCGTTTGCTGGAGCCCTCAGACATGGTGCTTCTCTCTGTGCCAGATCGTTTGATCGTCATGACGTACTTGTGCCAAATCCGTGCTCACTTCACCGGACAGGAGTTGAGTGTGTTACAGATTGAGCAGAACAACAGTCAGTCCAGCTACGCAGTAGCCGGGCCAAACCAGCGGGCGGATGTACACGCAGCTGCCAAATTCTGTGCAGAGAGGCTCCAGGCTGGATCTGTGTCAGGAGACAATAACAGCAAGGACTCACTGGGAGAGGAGGGAAGTGACACTGTGGCGAAGCCCAACGGAGGTCTTGTTCCTCCACCTCGGACTAAACGTGCGGGAAAAGTGGATGAGAAGGGCAGTAAGGAGACACAGGAAGGTTCGCAGACACCTGTGGCCCCGCCACGACCAAACGCAGCTGCTTCCAGATCAGGATTCGGGCACATACGAGATGCGGATCTGGTGAAGAAACAGCGGTCACGGCTGAAGAGTGAATCCATGGATGAGCCTGATTCAAAGGAGCCACCAGAGGAGGTAAAGGACATTAAATGTTCCCTTTCCTCGCATTTATGTTTCAATATTTAATCTAATAGTATATTTTCTACTAACCTCTGACAGTCAGATAAACGTGAACCAACAGTTCAAGGAACAAATGGCTTAACAGCTGAAAGAGAAAGTGCTGAAACGGGTAACCTACCTAAATATCTTCCTAAAAAATTATTGAATGTGGAAAGATTTGTTATTACACTCTAATTTACCTCTTTTCGCCCATTTGATATGTGTTTGCAGAACCTCACGAAGTAAACCATGATGTTAAATCAGCAGATAATGAGACAATGGTCAGTATACCCTCTATCTTTGAGAGAATTACAGTGTTTCATCTTTTTAAAAAAAGTGAAATTCTTGGATAACCTCAAAGCTTATGATTTTAAAATATAAAATTAGCCAATTTGCATGTCAAATACCTAGAAACTTCTTTTTTTTAATAGGGCTGTACAATATATTAATTAAATTAATGAAATATTGCAAATGTACAAATCTTGATATGCATTTCGCAAGGGGTGGTTAATCTGTCTGATTTCCCGATTCGATTCGATTACGATTATTGAAGTCCCGATTCGATTACAGTCGATTTTCGATTATTAACGATTCTCGATTAGCGATTATTGATTTTCCATTTCACAACAGTAAACGAAAATACACTACAAAGTGTTTGCAGTATTAAAAAAAGTCAGCTGCTGAATTACTTAACTCTTTTATTGAGTAACAACAACTCAAAGCACTTTCTGTGTCGTGTAGTTATAACTTCAGAATTATTTGTATGTAGCTTATGTTCTGTAGAACACAGAAATGAATACATCACATTGTGTTGTGACTCATCAAGTTGAACTAAACAATAACAAATAAATGAAAGGCTTATTTCCTTTAGGAAGTGGATCAGAACCAACATACTGTAGAAATTGGACAATTTTCTTCTAGAAAGACAAGGTGTTGTAGCAAGCAACGCTCGTTAGGCCGGAGACACACTGGCTGCGTGGCGTTTCTGTTGCGTATCAGCTGCGTCGCGTTTTCTGTGTCTTTGCACACCAGAAACGTGTCTGACGCGGCGCCGCTGCTGCTAGGTGACAAAGGCCCTGTCCCAAATGGAACCCTAAGCACTCGCGGTCTTCCTCTGAGTCCGCACTTTCGCAACGTAACGCCGCTTTGAATGTCGGGAAGAAGTCTGCTGTGGAGTCCGCATCAGCGCGGGCTCGGCAAAAGTGCGCATCAAGGGCGCAAATCGACCGCAGAGGGGGCGCTCGCGAGCACCCTTCTGAGATCTAAAAATGACAAATGGGACGCACTGCGGTCTCACGGACTTAACGGACACGCGCACGCGGCAGCCATTGTAAGTCCACAAGACCGAAAGTGCACATGAAGTGTGCCATTTGGGATTGGGCCATAGAGGGACAGTCTACATTTGGGTTAGCGGTGTGTTAATCCTTACTACAACAATTTCAACTCTTGCCTCTTGCCTTTACGACAACAATTTCAACTGTTATCACACATCTTCCAAAATCCGAAAAATAGGGAAGTGGGCTGTCTGTTTATTTCAATAACATTTACAAATTTTGTGTAGCTTTAAAGAGCCTATATTTAGCCTGATGGTGGACCGTCACTCAGAAGACACACTATGTTGTTATTGTAGCCTATTATCTTTATATCCTCCTGAGGCCCAGAACGTTTTTTTCAAAAGTTTTTTTTCTTCTTCATGTAATCACATTGTTAAGAGCATAAGAAACAAATGAAAAAAAAGAGATATTTTATTCATATGTTATGCTATGACCTCTGTAGTGAACACCATGACTCGATTGTTTAAAAAATAAAAATGACATAAATTTGTATATAGGCAAAAATAATGGCAATATTTGAAAATCGATAATTATTATTATTAATTATTATTTGTTTAAATTACAATGATATCTGAATTTATATAAAAACCTAGACTTTCAAACATCAAAATGTAATTTATTAATATGTATTCGTGTACAAAATGACATATAAACATCGTTTCCTATTCTATTTTGCCTGGAAACGCTTTCAACACGCTTGCGTGTCGCGTGAAAAATAGGCGTCGGTTCTATTTCTAGCATGCACGCGTTTTCCGCGCGGCTCATGCAGGCAGTGTGCAAGCTCTAACCTGTTAACATGGGAGCCGAAATAAAAACGGACACACCTCCGGCACACCTGCTCTCATTCGCACTGGCTGCCTTACACACGCTTGCTAACTGGAACTGGGCGCGTTCGTGACGTTCAACTTCCGGTATAACATTTTTTACAAAATAAAATAATGAATTTTTTTTTTTTTTATAATAAAAAATCGATTTTTGAAAATGTAATAATCGATTCATACTCGTCCATAACATACTCGCGATTAATCAATAATCGATTTTTTTCACCACCCCTAGCAATGACTTGAGATAACTAAATGATTTTATTACTTTAAAATTACAAAAAGGTGTAAAAGTTTTAGGTTGATGCAGATGGCAGAGAAAAGACTGTTACTCGTGGTCATCTCGCATGTCAATGATCTCATTGCAAACTAGTCTGAGAAGAGTCGCCTGCAGTTGCTGCAGAAGATTTAGAGAATCGTGAAATATGTATATACAATATACATATAAATATATATACACTCACCGGCCACTTTATTAGGTACCCCATGCTAGTAACGGGTTGGACCCCCTTTTGCCTTCAGAACTGCCTCAATTCTTCGTGGCATAGATTCAACAAGGTGCTGGAAGCATTCCTCAGGGAGTTTGGTCCATATTGACATGATGGCATCACACAGTTGCCGCAGATTTGTCGGCTGCACATCCATGATGCGAATCTCCCGTTCCACCACATCCCAAAGATGCTCTATTGGCTTGAGATCTGGTGACTGTGGAGGCCATTTTAGTACAGTGAACTCATTGTCATGTTCAAGAAACCAATTTGAAATGATTAGAGCTTTGTGACATGGTGGAAGTAGCCATCAGAGGATGGGTACATGGTGGCCATAAAGGGATGGACATGGTCAGAAACAATGCTCAGGTAGGCCGTGGCATTTAAACGATGCCCAATTGGCACTAAGGGGCCTAAAGTGTGCCAGGAAAACATCCCCCACACCATCACACCACCACCACCAGCCTGCACAGTGGTAACAAGGCATGATGGTTCCATGTTCTCATTCTGTTTACGCCAAATTCTGACTCTAACATCTGAATGTCTCAACAGAAATCGAGACTCATCAGACCAGGCAACATTTTTCCAGTCTTCAACTGTTCAATTTTGGTGAGCTCTTGCAAATTGTAGCCTCTTTTTCCTATTTGTAGTGAAGATGAGTGGTACCCGGTGGGGTCTTCTGCTGTTGTAGCCCATCCGCCTCAAGGTTGTGCGTGTTGTGGCTTCACAAATGCTTTGCTGCATACCTCGGTTGTAACGAGTGGTTATTTCAGTCACTGTTGCCCTTCTATCAGCTCGAACCAGTCTGTCTGGCCATTCTCCTCTGACCTCTGGCATCAACAAGGCATTTCCGCCCACAGAACTGCCGCTCACTGGATGTTTTTTCTTTTTTGGACCATTCTCTGTAAACCCTAGAGATGGTTGTGCGTGAAAATCCCAGTAGATTAGCAGTTTCTGAAATACTCAGACCAGCCCTTCTGGCACCAACAATCATGCCACGTTCAAAGTCACTCAAATCACCTTTCTTCCCCATACTGATGCTCGGTTTGAACTGCAGGAGATTGTCTTGACCATGTCTACATGCCTAAATGCACTGAGTTGCCGCCATGTGATTGGCTGCTTAGAAATTAAGTGTTAACGAGCAGTTGGACAGGTGTACCTAATAAAGTGGCCGGTGAGTGTGTATATATATATATATATATATATATTTAAATATAGGATTATCATAAAGCATATCACATTGTTTAACAAGTTATCACATTTTTCATCAGTATTGTGCAGCCCTACTATCTAAATTTACAATAACCATCATAATAGTCAAATTATGGGGCTGGATTCACAAAACATTCTTAAAAATAAAAGTCCTCTTAATTGTCTTCTTATTTTCTTACTTAAAAATAAAGTCAAGAATATTTTGCATCCCCAAACATTTTTTAGGAATGTTCTTTTTTTTCTTCTTTTTTTTTAAGACCCACTTTGCACCACTCGCGTCTGGTGTAGATAGTGTTAGAATGAATCTGAAGAAATTTCCTTTTAGTGAATCCGGCCCCTGATTCACAAGCTTTTACCATCCCATATTTCATTTCCTTGTATCCAGTAAAATCAAGCCTGTCCTTTCCTCTCCATTATCTTTGTGCGTCATCTCTCTTCCTCCCCATTTCCAACCATTTTTGCTTTCTTTTTCTCTCTCTCTCTGTCTGCGATACTCTCTTGTCTGGTTTTATGTATGTCTCCCTGTGGTCCTTCCTGGTCAGTGTCTGCAGGACACCAATCAGTATGTGTTAAGTGAACTCCAGGCCCTGGAAACCGAACAGAAGCACATAGACAGAAGAGCTGATGTCGTGGAGAAAAGGCTCAGAAAGCTCATGGAGACGGGTAAGAAAAAAACTCACATAGAAAGAAAGAGTTCAACTGATTTCAAGTTAACTCTTGGAATGCAGCATGATACTTCATTATTGTCTGTTTAACAGGAAGTGATAAAGATGAAGAAGAGAAGCTGATTCAGGAGTGGTTCACTCTGGTCAACAAGAAGAATGCTTTGATAAGGAGACAAGACCATCTGGAGCTGCTGTATGTCCTGATAATCTTACTCGCATTCACAAGTGATATGTCAGTCCACACCGATAAACATTAATGATGTTATCCTTGCAGGCAAGAAGAGCAGGATTTAGAAAGAAGGTTTGAGCTGCTAAACCGAGAGCTCAGAGCCATGATGGCTATTGAAGGTAAGACATGTAACTGATATGAGTTATTTAATGGAAACGCTGGACAGTCACAGCTCAACAATACACTCATATTTTGGCTGATGCTGATAATTCTAATATATAAGTTTAATTTAATCATAACAATCCATAATAATTTATTAGTTATGGCTGAAAATCAATACATGGCTGACATTATAATTCTATACTATTATAGATAAGCATTACATTAAATTAAAATAAAGCATTACAAAAATAAAATCAGTCCATTTAAATTTGTGCTGTCAAATCGATCACATTTCACATCTAACGTAAAAGTTTGTGTTTACAAAATATGTGTATATATTATTTCAATTTATATATGCGTGTGTGTGTGTGTGTTTGTACATGTACACACTTATATATATATATATACTGTACGATACACACATATATATATATATATATATATATAGTGTATGTGTATAAATAAATGTGTGTGTGTGTGTATATACAGTATAAACTTTTTTAACACCTTCATTTTTTAAAAGTGCTTTTCACTTTTGCAATAATCTGCTGAGTGTCTTCCTAAAAAAGCCCAACTTTAGGTCTGTATTCCAAAGCATTCATGAACTATTGCAACCATTTATTTTTCACATCTATGCTTAAAAAGGGGGCTGTCCGTTAATGGGTTAAAACACACACACACAAAATGGATAAATAATTATCTGCTTGGCCCATAAATTGGTCTATTAATACGTTAAACCTTTACTTACCTATTTCCTGTGTGGCTGCAGCTTCAGTAGTCAGTATTTCATCACTCACATTCATATTCCATCATTCAGACTGGCAGAAGACTCAGGCCCAGCAGCACAGAGAACAGCTACTGCTGCAGGAGCTGGTGTCACTGGTCAACAAGCGGGACGAGCTGGTCAGAGACATGGATGCAAAAGAGAGAGGGTGAGTCTAGTCACACTGTGCACTGGCATGGTGAAAATTATAAATGGGTTATGTGATTTTAATTATGCACTGTATGTATTTTCTATGTGCAGAGCTTTGGAGGAGGATGAAAGACTGCAGAAAGGTCTGGAGGCAAGACGTAGAAAATACAGCAATAAGGAAAAGTGTGTTCTTCAATAAAGACTTCATATGAATTCATATGAAAACTGAGGCTCACTGCACAACAATCTAGATGACTTTGACTACACCAGGACATTAGTGTGCCTTGTTTTAACTTTCAAAGACTTTTGGCTTCAACGTTAAGCCCTTCCTCACAACATCTTCAAGATCTCAGTGACATCAGTGGGATGTATAACATGTTCAGTGTGGATCATACTAGTTATACCCTGAAAGTTTGCACAATGATTTGAAGGTTCTTCCAGGTTGCATTGGTAAAGAGCTTGATATTATAAGCAATATTAATTTAAATCTGAAAAAAAGGTCTTTATTGTTTTATTGGACAATAAACAAACACCCTTCACATACCTGAATGGTTACAGACAAATGAACTGAACACAATAAATAAAAGGGAGTAAAGTGAAAAATCCTTCATACTGCTGTAGATTGCAAAATAAAAATATTTATTGAGACTTCTGTCATGTGACCTTCGTCAGGATTCGTCGGAAGCGAACAAAACAGTGCTCAATAACCAATAGAATTCTTCCAAGCTACAGCAGCGAGTAGTATTTTTTCTCCTTTGTTAAGTTTTATTGGAAATGTATTGTTTCTTGTAATTTTTTTTTTTTTTTTTTTTACTTTGCTCCATATGATTAAGATGATTTGACTGTCTTTAAGATGTATCGAACAGGCAAAGAGAATTGCTCCAAAGTTTGCTGTTTTTACATTATTTATTTAAGCGTGTTGTTTCCTGGTATGCCAAAATGTCTCTGTTGGGCTGTTGTCTTGTATTAGCTGCAAATTGTATTCTCTGATCGTTTATCAGACAATGTGTCTCCAAATGAATGTATTCATACAATTTTAATGCATTGCAGTGCCTTTAGATATTTAATACCTTTTGAAAAGGGGCTTTTTATATATACCGAAGCCTGTATTTTTCAGTTTTAAACCTTGAAAGATAACTAAATGAAAAATATTTATGGATTGTTTTATAGATACAAAAAGTATTTTGTCTGACTGTACTCTTTTGATATTTAAATGTGTTCATTCCTATTGTAAGATTTAGAGTGTTTTATTCAATAAAGTTTGATGATGTTTGAATTAGTGTTGTATTAAGTGAATTATGTATTTTTTTTCTGGATAAAACGTTGTTGTTGTTTTTTACAACAATCCCATTTGACGACAAATGAAACAAACTCAAACGTTTTACCTTTGCAGCTCGAGTATCTTTATCATCCTGAGACTGGGGATCTTTTGACTTGAAAGCAGCTACAGAAACCTCTTAGCAACCGCAAAACGCCTTGGAAACCACAGTTACAACATATTTAAGCATCGTGGCGGTTTGTTTTTTAGGGGCAAAAACAACACGCAGACAGACGTTTGATCCGTGTACTGTATCAGCTGATCTACAAAACCAACATATTTTATAACCACAGACAGAGAACAAGCCAACTTTACGTTTCTGTTATGTGAATTCTGGCTACACACACAACATTTGAATGGATGGATCCTACCACTAGGCGGCGAAAGCGGGTAAGAAAAGCGGCGCATCCTCATCCGTCACTGCCGCACCTGCGCGGCTTGTAAAAACCTGAGAGAAGAGAGGTGGCGGAAAGTCAGACTGGGTTAATTTTGCAAGGAAATCTGGAAACGGCGCACAAAGGCTTATCAAAACTCAAAGATAATCTTTTTTTTGCTACTATTCCAGGCTAAATACTGGTTCAGAGTCTGCGGTCAGCCGGTGAACAGTAAGCGACCCAGAGCGCTTCTACCAGCTGGACAAACAATAACAATCCCTTTGCTGTCACATCATGAACCCTGAATAGTAAGTCGTCTTACCGTCATAAATGAACATCTATGATTGCCTAATAATATATTAAACCTTTCGTTTACGGGTCAATCAAAATTTCTTTGCAGTTGTTGATCAATTTCTATAATAATTAAATAATAAATTGTATGACTGCAACATAACGTCAGTTGCTCTGTAAATAAAAGTGTGATAGTTAGGCTATTTATCAAACAGGACTACACATATATATATATACGTATATAAACTGTAATGAAAATATATTTATCTTTGCATATTTCTCCAGTGACTACTTATTCAAGCTTCTTCTGATTGGAGATTCTGGAGTTGGAAAGTCCTGCATTCTCTTGCGTTTTGCAGTAAGTGTTTTCTTAACAGCATTTTTGGATATTTTTGGATATGAACGATGTCAGATCTTGTGTTCTTTCTTGACTCTTCTCTACCAGGACGACACCTACACAGAGAGTTTCATCAGCACGATCGGAGTGGATTTCAAGATCAGAACTATTGAGTTGGATGGAAAAACTATTAAATTGCAGATAGTGAGTTTGTAGACTTTAAAATTCAAATTAAGTATGTAATTTAATGTGAAACCACAGATACACTGAGTCTCGTCCATGTTTACAGTGGGACACCGCTGGACAGGAGAGATTCCGCACGATTACATCCAGCTACTACAGAGGAGCTCACGGGATCATTGTTGTGTATGATGTTACGGATCAGGTTTGTGAGACCCCTTTCTAAAAATGCATCCATATTGAAACATTTATGGCTATTGCTTGGTTAAAGATGTAGAGCTGAACTGAAATGTAATCTAAACGACACTTTTTTGAAAAGTTTATGCTGGTGCCTTTTCAGGAATCCTACAACAACGTGAAACAGTGGCTGAAGGAAATCGATCGCTATGCGAGTGAAAATGTCAACAAACTACTTGTAGGAAATAAGTGTGACCTCACTACAAAAAAAGTTGTGGACTACACTACAGCTAAGGTTGGTTGGTAGGGCAGTATAATAAACTTCCTCTTTAGACTAGTTAAACATGGAGCCTGTCATTTCTATGCCAAACACATTCCCCGGTTTCACAGACTTTTCTCCACAGGAGTTCGCTGACTCTCTTGGCATCCCTTTTCTTGAGACGAGTGCCAAAAATGCCACGAACGTGGAGCAGGCCTTCATGACCATGGCAGAGGAAATAAAGAAGCGCATGAGACCAGGGACTTCAGGGGGTTCCGAGAAACCTGATCTTAAAATCGAAAGCACCCCAGTGAAACAGTCAGGCGGCGGATGCTGCTAGAGCATATTTTCTCAAGGAGTGTGATGAGCATGACTGGACACTGATGAGTATTGTGTAGAGATGACCAATTTGGATATTAATGACAGACTTTCTCCTACATGGTGCTCAATAAAGTCAGAAATCATTACTGTTGTTTAACAAAGAAGCATTCATGGCTTATCCCACATTTTCGTTGTGTTTGAAAATAAGATTAAAGCACAGACACACTCTGATTCAAATGAAGGTGAAAAATGTCCAGATCACTGTGTTAATAGTTGATCCAATTAATTGATCCAATCGTGTGAATATTCATAACCTATGAACTGGGATTCGCAACTCTGAAGTGGTGCCTTTTCTTGTTCATGCTTTGAAGAAGATCAAGTGGTTGAGTGGTCATTGTACATCAGCATGGTAAAGCAGTGACTCTCTAGCATTATCACGTGGAGTTTTACTGTGGTTCTGTGATAATAAACTAAACTATGTTGTTTTGTGTGTATTAATTAGTTTCTTCTTTTTATTTGTGTGTGTGTGTGTGCGTGCGTGCACACCTGTGGCTGTGACTATTTTAATTATCTTATATAAAGGGATCTTACCCAAAAAGAAAGTCATAATTGATGTCACTTTCATGTCGCTCCAAACTGGTAGGCTGACATTCTTTCGTCGAACGCAAAACAATAATAATACAAAAAAATGTTTTCATCTCAAGTCCAAAACTGACACTCATTGAGTTTCATTGTATGGGGGAAAGTCTAAATATGGTTTTGTGTTCTACAGGAGAAATTATACAGGTTGTGAACAAAACGAACGTGAGCTAAATGAAAATGTTGTATTTTTTGTATTAGTCAAAACGGTATTCGGTATAACTGCTTTTTAAACATTTAAAATTAATTGACATTTTACATTTAAAAGTAAACTGAAACTGCTGTTTTAAATGAAAATACTCCCCGCCCCAAAAACACATTTCATTCCTGGTTGCAAACATCCATTCTTCCTTAATTGGTCGCGTTGAATCGATTGTGATAGTAATGGTCTAAAGAGCGATTAACACAAAAACTCACAAACATCGTCCATTCACACCTTGCGGTCGCAATTCACAGATTCAATTGGATTGCATTTTATATAGCGCTTTGCCGCTTTCACAGACCCAATGGCCACCAAAGCGCTTTGCATTTTGCCTCACATTCACCCATTCATACACTCATTCATACACCGACGGCGGTGTCAGCCATACAAGGCGTAGGGAGCAGCTGGGGTTAGGTGTCTTACTCATGGACACCTCGACACTTGGTCAGATTCAAGACACTCCCACAACAATTCGGTAATAAATACATTGATCAGTACCACCATCGGTTCTACCTCATAACAAATCAGGCAACCATACGTGCAAGAATGGAAAGTGTGTGCACGAGTGATTCCGGACCACGCAAAAGGAAAAATAAAGATAGGCCTACTGAAGAACAAGAACAAGGTTGGTATTCTTGATTTTCTTGACATTAAGAAATCAAAGTCAGTTCATCTGATCGGGTGGTCAGAGTGGTGTAGCCTAATAAATAATAAATCCACTAAAAAGTTAAATTAAATGGTTAAAATCGTGTATGGACGTTGATTTATTAACATGAGAATGGCAGAGATCTCATAAAAGCATTTATTTCACATTTTAATGAATTTTTTGACAATTGATAAATGATGTGCTCATTTTAGACCTGGTTGAAACCCAAGAAGAACTGAGCAAAGTGGAGAAGAATAATTTGATATCAGGACAAAAATCTTCCAGTTTCTCACAGACTGAAAACAAATCAGGAGCCAAAAAAAATATCCCCTGCCCTCTGTGTGGAAAGAGCTTCACACAAAAAGGAAACCTTAAGATTCACATAAGGATTCACACTGGAGAGAAGCCTTTCGAATGTCATCTGTGTGGCAAGAGTTTCACAGATCCAAGGAATCTCAGAGATCACCAGCTCTCCCACTCTGGAGTAAGAGCGTTCGACTGCGATCAGTGCGGCAAAAATTTCATGTTTGCAGCTCACTTGAAAAGACACCTGAGAATCCATACAAATGATAAGCCTTACTTGTGCTCCGTTTGTGGACAGAGTTATTCACGCATGGACCATTTTAAAGAACACCAGAAATTGCATGTCAATGTGAGACCTCATGTGTGCTTTGAATGTGGAAGTGCCTTTAATTTAGCCAGTCACTTGAAAGACCATCAAAAACTTCACACTGGAGAGAAACCGCACAAGTGCTCACACTGTGGAAAGAGTTTCGCGCAGTCAGGATCTATGAAAAAACATGAGAGAATTCATACAGGAGTGAAGCCATACATCTGCCCTTCATGTGGGAGGGCCTTCTGCCAGTCAAGTGCTCTACTGAATCATATAAAAAAGCATTGCCCAAAGTTGCCACAGTGAGAAAATGATGCAAAAATAATGCAAAATGGCGGTTTAAAGAGAGAATTTCATTTTTTAGAGGGTCATTTTTTGACAAAAAAAGTAAATTGGGGAGGTCAAAGAATTCATTCAAACATAGGTGTGAAACACCATTTTCTATCTAGAGGAATGTTTTTTTGTTGTTGATTTTTGCACCAGTCTTAAGTGATAATTAATTATGCATTGGACTGTATTGCACTCTTAAATAATAAAAAAAATACTGACTTAAACTATAATCTATTCATGTTTTGCAATTTCATTTGTTCATTTACCTTCCGAGAAGGTAATAGCTACTATTCATGTTTTTTCCCCTATACTATGAAAGTCAATGGGCCGATCAACTGTTCTGTTACCCATTCTTCAAAATATCTTCTTTTGTGTTCAGCACAAGAAAGAAATTCATACAGGTTTGGAACAACTTGAGGGTGAATAAATGATGAATATACATTTTTAGGTGAACTATCCCGCATGCTTTCTGGAACATATTCTACAAGGGCTGTACAGAAATATCCTAACTAATATAATCCTATCCGTTTAGAAACCCGTGGTCATTTCATTTAGGAAATAGAACTTTTCCCCATCTTAAATCAAGAATTTATAAAGGAAGTTTCTGTAATAAAGCCCCAGATCACAGTCCAAGATTAGTGACTGAATTCACTCCTTATTACAATATGGGCAGATCAATGTGAAACTGATGGATATATATATATATATATATATATATATATATATATATATATATATATATATATATATATATATATATATCCTATAAACAACAACAACAAAAAGTAAATTCGTATAAATGTATATTTTGCCCAAAATACCACAGTACAAAAGCAAAAACTAATTCGTAATTGAATGGAATATAAAATTAATGCAATGGCTATTAAAACTATACTCAAAAATATCTTTATTATCTAGTTTAGGCAATTCAAAGCAGCAGCAGATGGCCCTAACTCATGCCAATGATGAAATCACGTGGACCACTTTGGCGCCGCACAGAAATGATTAAAACCTAGAGAGGAGAGGAGATTATCCTAGTAGTATGAAGCCAATCAAAGACTTTAGACATACAAAGACGGTGCAGTCATTACTTATAAATGGCTAAGTCCCGCTCTAACTAAATATTTTATTTTATGAATGTATGACCAGTCATTTAGCCTATTTTATCGATATTTGTCATGCGCCATAATTTAGCATAGGATTTTAAACATCTTTATCCACTTGTTTTATGTGCAAGATATTTTTATTTTTGGTCTTATTTTTGTATTTATTAAATGAACAAAAACGTAATAATAACATTTTAGAAAGTTTATAGTTTATAAAAAATATATTTTTTTCAGGATACATTTACTAAATATTCTAGTGTTCACAGTGGTGGTGCGCCCTCTGTTGCCGATTAATAGTACGGCGCTTCTTTATACATGAAGCTTGTTCCAGGTTTTTGTTGATTTCACTGGTGGGCGCTGTTTTGAGAAAATTATCCAGATGCGCTTCTGCTGCCGTCACACTTTCAGATCTTTTATGTAACTTAATCCATTCAACTATCGATGATTTCTGTCTGTTTTGATCGAGAAAGAAGCTTCTGAAACGAAGGACAGTGTCTCGGTATGTTGCTGTTTGTAGTTTGGTTGCCAGGCAGTTACTGGAGTAACGTTAGCTAGCTAACGTTAGCTGGTCAGAATAGGGACGTCAGCTGTGTTTCTTTTTATTTTCTTTAATTTCTCTACTTTTTTATAATATTATTGTATTTTAATCGATTATGTATGATATGGTACAACTGAGCAAAAACTAACTGTAAAATGTGTAAAGAATACTTCAGGAATTTTAAAGTTGCTGGGTTAGCCTTTCATAATTATTTAAACTTGTTAATGCGTATGACTGATCATTTTGCTATGAAAACTACTATCTGAAATGATGACTTCGTTTTTCCTTAGTTTGTTAAGAATATGCCAACAATAAGTAGCAGAAGTTTCTTATATAACAACGTCTTGTGTTTCCTATTCAGTAACGTTACTTGTGTTTGTTTCTGGATTAGATGGAGAGAGATGATGGCGACTTCCTCCCTGAGCCATCAGAGGACTCTCAGTCCCTGCGAGGAAGTGTGGCTTCCTCAGTCACCAGAGGTTTGTTCTCTGTTCCTTAATGTTTCTTTGGTTCCTCTCTGGATCTGACTGGAGATCTCGATCTGATCATTGTTGACCTGAAATGATCAGTGTCACTCTTGTGTTTCTCCAGCTCAGGATTTGTTGGTGTACTTGGCGAGTGACAGTGCAGTGCACTTGACTTTGGAGGGTCTCGGCTGCATGAATGCACAGGAGCTCGGCCGCAATGTCCGGGAGGCTCTCAACATTCCCAACTCTGCCGTAGATGTGTTTGCTTTCTGGTTCTGCTCTCCTTTGCTTGGTGATTAATGCTTTTTTATGCCCTGGGCACTGGCCAGATGTCAGACTGATACAAGATCATATGACCTATTCGTATTTAGGCTATGAAGAAAGGCGAGACACAATGATGGCATTTACAGCCTCTATGGCTGATTTGCAAGTGAAGGGTTGGGAGGGGACTTCAGGAAGTCCTCTGAGTGTTAATGCCACCAACTGGCATTTATTAATTATTTGATGTCTCTTTAAACAAAGGCATAATTTTACTTATTATCTAGTATTAAAGGCTGGAATACACCACACAACTTTTAAAATCTTAACAGATTTGAAAATACTAGGCATCATACACTTGCTAACTTTGTAATGGCTACAGAGGAAAAACTGGGCATCATACACTAAAGGCCTGTTCACACCAAGGATGACAACTATGGATTTTTAATTATTCTAATTCTATGAGAATAGTGACCACACCATAACTATAATGATAATGACAAAGAGGAACAATATCAGTTTAATCACTTTCAGAATTATTTTTCCTGCTGATGAATGATAAAATCATTGACAGCCAATCAGAATCAATCCGGCTTTGAAGAGTTTGAGCATGCAAAACTGCAGTGTAACATAATAAACAGAACAATATTATGCATTGGTGTGGACGCTAACATAGTTATTGTTATAGTAATCTTTATAGTTATCGTTCTTGGTGTCGACGAGCCTTAAAGGTGCACTTAGTGGTTTCTGAGAAACGCTGTTGAAAGTGAGCACCAAAACACACTTGCAGCCAATCAGCAGTAAGGGTATGAATGAGTGAGTGAATGGGTGAATGTGAGGCAATATGTAAAGCGCTTTGGTGGCCATTGGGTCTGTGAAAGCGCTATATAAATGCAGTCCATTTACCATTTACACACTCACGAGGGGGGAGGAGCCTGTGCTGCATAGTTTCTTTGTGAATTTGGGGGCGGAGCCATCAAGATAGGGGTGTGATCACTGATCTATATATTAATGTCATTATATAGATCAGTGGGTGTGATCAATTTGTTGAGGGGCATGTTTTGGTGATTTCAAATATCACCAGCGTATCTCAGAAACCTTAAACTTTCAAGTAACAACACAATCTATATGTTCTAAAATTGGCTCAAAATATCAGACATGTTTTGATATCCGCCAAATGAAAGGAATCATAGTCTGAAGCTAAAAAATTGAGTCTGTGTGCCCATCATACACAGCATGGTTTTCTGTGAAATCTGTTAGCACTGACTGTCCAAAATCTGCAGGCTGTGTCTGACTTTACCAATTGGCATTTAGTGGCAAATATGTCAGAATTCCAGCCATTAATTAGACCTATATTCTAATAATAACATTATTTGTGTTATAATAATGAAAAACAATACAATAAAAAAAATTTGTGTTTGTTTATTAACAAAGGAAATATGCCCTAGTCAGTGTTTGATCATCATCATTTTTTTCTGAGGTCCTTCTTGTTGATTCCCGCCTTTAGCCTCATTCTGCTGTGAAATGTTTAAACAGACCTGCAGTTGAAGCCGAAACATCTTCCCTACAAGTTGTGTCGTCAGTGGCAGGACCTGCTGTACCGCTTTACTGAGGCCCCCGCCGAAGACATTTCTCAAGGTGTGTTTTTTTGTCTGTTTTTGGTTTTGCATACTTCAATTCACCTGAAAGTTTAAGTGTCAAACAAAAACATATCTCTGTGTTTTTCAGATGAGCCAGTTCTGATGTACAAAAGAAATGTTTTTTGTCCCAGGTCAAAAGAACTTCAGGTAATGAACATGTTTTTAGATGTTTGTGTCTTTAAAGAGATAGTTCACCCAAAAATTAAGATTATGTTGTTCCAAATTTGTATGACTGAAAAAAAGAATGCATCAACTGTTTTATCCACACACTGAAAGTCAGTGGGGTCCAAAACAGTATTGCAGCCGATTAACTTTAACTATATGGGTACTGAGAAATCCATCAAAATATCTTCTTTTGTGTTTTAAAGAATTTAGTGCGTCATACAGGTTTGGAATGACTTAAGGTTGAGTATATGGTGTTTGTTATGGTAATCTAACCCTTTAAGCTCAGTGCACACTTTGCGTTTTTCTCTGTCTATTACGAGTGATGCTTTTCAGATTGTGCAATATGACCCCAGAGAGATCTTGCGTAAAATCCCAGGCTCATGTGCAACATCAAATGTCTCTCATGTCAGACAGTATACATCTTACCTAAGACTTTGTACTTGATCCTTGGACAGCATTTGTGTCTCTGGGGTCATTTGGCTTTGGCAGTGGAGGTCATGACATGGACTGGCATGACATTATTCTTCAGTGCAATCATAACATGAAGGGACCCAAAGAGATTTATGTTGCATATCAATCATAGACACACAAAATCTTGCAGCTGCTTGTTTTCAAAATTGTATTTATTAACAGAAATGGGAGTATTGATATATTAAATTAACCATGATTTGTTTTGTGAACTGTATGTTCTTCAATAAAAACAATAGATATTGATAGGGGTTAATATTTTTTTTTTATTAATTAATAAACATATATATATTTTTTAGATTAATTATCTTGAGGCCCCCTTGGATGAGAACCACTGCTATAAAATTATGTTAATTTCATGTTGTGTAACATTTTTATTTTATAATGTCAGATTGAAGATGGAGGAGTGTTAAGGTTGCTTTATGACGAGGCAAAGATGAATATCTTGGAGGGTCGATACCCCTGTGACCCTGAACACTGGCTGACGTTGGGAGCGTTGTCCTGTGCTGTCGAGCTGGGGACTGGGCTGGATGACCAGGCTCTAACAGCGGCAATCAGGTGATTAAATCATATCAGTGATTAAATGAGGATAATGTAAAGGTGTTCAGCTATAATTTTGTGTTAAAAAATTGATTCTGAATTGCTGTAATTAATTTCAGTTTCTCCCCTTAATGTTATTCCAGAGAGAAGAAGCTGTCCTCATTTCTTCCAGCCCACGCTGCATTAGGAGGAGGAGGTTTTCTGTCCACACTAAGGGGGAGAGGAGGGCGGAATACCGAGATGGAGCATAATCTCATAAAGGAGTATCGCACGGTCTGCTCCTCTGCTGCCACCGGACCCAGCCAGGAGCCTGTTGCTTTGCTGCACCAGTACCTCAAGAGCTGCCACACACTGCCTTACTACGGGTACGAATGACGCAAGTGGAAAGTTGTTCACACATGTGACATGAAGTGACTGAAGCTTAAATTTGTTTATTTTTGCATTGGCAGATGTGCTTTCTTCGTGGGTGAGATAGACAAGCCAGCCCAGGGCCTCCTTCACAGAGGTGGCCGTAAGGCTGTGAGTGTGGGCATCAGTCTGGAAGGAGTGTATGTCATGGATGTGAAAGAGAAGCATGTCCTCCTGGGTCTCAAGTTCAGTGAGCTGTCCTGGGATCACAGCTATCCAGAGACTGAGGGAGACTCGCATATACTCTGGCTGGAGTTTGATGGAGAGGAGGCTGGCGTGCATGTCAATAAGTTATTAAAAATTTATTCAAAACAGGTGAGCAGCACGCAATAAATGAATGACTAATAATGTTATATTTGTCAGTGTAAGTAAGCATATATTTAAAAAGTTTTGGATTATAGCTGTAAAATATTAAAATGCAATAAAATTAAGTTCTTTTTAAAAATGTAAAATGAATCATATTTATTATTATACATTTTATAAATGAATATGAATTAAAATGTTTCCATGAAATACTTGTGCATTATTTACCAATATACTTTTTGTTCTCTAGGCCGAACTTATGAGTGGACTCATTGAGTTTTGTGTGGAGTTACGCTCTGTTGGTGAGTCTGCAGCCGCGGGTACTGACGGTGAGGTCACGCCTTCCCAAGAACCTACGGGTCAGGAAACCAATGAGAAAACTCGAGAGCGTCGACAGGGGAAACTGCGGAGACAGAGCAGCGTGGTCTGTAGTCGAGTCCATTCACTCAACACCATCAGCTATGTTGATGACGGTGAGGGACTAAAATTGTGTCCATGCATAGATGGACTCAGTGTTCATTTGTTATGCCCATTAACTTTTATCATCTGCAATAAATAAGCTCCGTTTAATTTACCTCTCTTGTTTCAGGCAAGGAGATTAAACGTCTAAAGCCCAAAAGAGCTGCTTCTTTCTTCACGCGACAGGCGCAGCCTCCCACTTACTCGGCTGTTCAGGTGACTGAAAGTTTAGAGCAAGGGTGAGCCCCGGCTTCAACACTGCCCTCTTCTGCCCGGTGACCAAAACTACATCTGTCCATTGAGATCCTTAGAGACGCAGTGCAAAACCACCTGAATGGACAGATCGGACCAAGATCACAGACCGAAGAGCTAAACCACTATTTATAGATGGTTTGAGCATTATGTCACAGGTTAAAGTTAACTTTGTTGGCTGTTAAAAAAAACCAATGTGAAATTTGCTTCAGTTATGCTTTCCTGTCAAAATAATTTATGGACATTATGGTGCAAATGTAAGGCTTTGAGAAGATCTGAAAGCTCTGTTTAGGTCACAGTTCTGAATGTAGATTCTACTATGCAACCATTAAACCAAACTACATCCCAGTGGCTGTAAATCAAGACTACAGCAGTTCAGCACTTTGATCCATGCCACTAATACAGCTAAAACTAGACCTTCTGCACCAAAGCGAACAGTCAATGCCTCTAGTATAGGACGACCGCTCTTATACACTAAACCAGGGCCGCAGTCTGTGGCAAAGCATTGCAAAGACGGCATAGAGTGAGATTATGACATTCTGCGTCACTTGTCTACTGAATGTGTTTGTTGTTTTGGCTGTCTGTTTATTGTTGGGCTTGTTTGCATATGCCGACTTCTACTGAGCAACAAGGTCAAATTGATTTTTTTTTTCTTTTTGTGTTCATTGGTGACCAAAGTTAAATCATGAAACAACATGTTGAGTGTTGTTCACTACCTTGTTGCTCTGGAGAATCATGCCTTTCTGATGGCGTGCAATGTAATGCTCTGCTGAAAACAATCCAGGTCTGCATTTTTAAAGCAGAGAGAACTTTAATTAATACATCAAATCACCAGTTGTGTAGGTACTTGATGATCAATCAGTGATGTATTTCTATTTAGTAATGCTTTTCAAACAGTGTATGACACCCTAAGCATTGTACTGTATTTCCAGGCTTTCAGAACTTGAATGTACCTATCTAAATGAAATGTATCTGATTTTTTACTAAATTATTGGCAATGCAGGGCCTGACATTAATGTTTGTTCAGGATAATTGCTAAAAATGTCAAAGGAAGTTGTTTAATCTGGTAACTAAAGTGTCATGCTAATTGTCAGGTGTCATAGTTTATCTGATCGTAACATCTGGTCTTCAGTGTCCAGTTACTGTGGCATCATCATCAAACAATACAAGACCAGTTGTCTGAATTGTGCAAAAATTATTGAATTAATGTTCATTATGCATCCTGTTTTGGTATTAATATGCACTGTTGTTTTACAAGTGACTTAAACGTTCAAGTTTCTGTAAACACTTAATGTCAAGCCTTGCATTAATAAGTCTTCAGTTACCAAACACAATTCTGTATTTATCCATGCATGACATCTGTTGTCTTAAATAGATTTTGTGGTGTGCATGTTTCTGTAATCATTGTTTTTACCTGCTTACACATGGGGCTCGATGACATTTTAAAGTGTGTCAAATTAAAACTTTTTTTTTTTTGCATCACAAGCTGAATGGTGTAAAATGATCAGTACACACTGAAATCAGAAAATCTTACTGCATTTCTGTATTTATGCTAAATGCTTATGTTGTCATCAAGATGTTAATCCTAAAATGCTTAATCCCAGATCTTCTGTACCATATTATATTTTCTGTTCTAAAACTAATCCCATATTTGTATTTCAATCTGAACATCTGTCATGCACATAATAACTGTACTGTAGATAGTCACATCTATGTTATAAAATACTGAGTCTGTCAATACTAATTTAAAGTGCCTTTTTTTTACATATACATTTTATCTGTTGTTGTTGTTTTGCTGTCATCTGTCCCTTGAAATTGTATCTCCACTACCTTTTGTTGTTTGTGAAGTTTTTATACACAAATTTCTCTACCAAGATTTGTGACTGTAAAATTAACTGAAACCATTTATATGCAACATTAAACCTTTTTATTCCCGCTTTGTACTAACTTCTGGCATACTGATCAGTAAATAACTTTATGTATATTGGATTTTATATTGGTGTTTTATTTAAACGAACTATCCCTGCAATAAGGTCTTTGATGTGATTAACAGAATTAAATCTTCAGGAGAAAAATAAATTTATCCGCTAATAATAGCATATTTTTATGTATATTAGCAGTAACAAGATTTACATTTTCTTTATTTTTTAAAGGCATTTTGTATTACTGTTTAATTAACATTGAAACATATTTTTAAAAAGCATTTTGTATTAAAATGTAATTGAAATAACATTAAGAACACTATTATTTGGTACAAATTAAAATCGGCCAAATAGGAAATTCTTGCTTTTATTATACAAATTCGCGTCCCGGACCTCTATTTTGAAATACAGTCTACAGTAGCGCCATTTTGGTACAGAGCAGCAGCTCTATACACAAACTGAGTTGGCAGGTAGCAACCAGAGCTCTTGCTACAGATGTTTTGTTGACAACTGTCATTCATTCATGAATTAAAGTCCTACTCGTTCTGACATTAGGCTATAGTTGAGCTGTGGTGGAAATGAGTTCAGCTACAACCCCACCGGATTCGGACCCGGCCCAGCGTCGACGGGTTCACAACAATATGCTGAAGCTCTACTACGGCCTGAATGAGGAAGGAAAAGCCGCAGAACAAGCCGAGTCTCTGGGTCCGTGTGATATCAACGGACCGCATTTCGATCCAGAGATTTATTTAAATAAGGTATTGTGATGAATAATGATAAATAGTGAGTGCTTATTGTTTGTTATGTAGAGGTGTGTACACATCCGTCAGCAATGTGGCGTGGAAGTATGCTGTCAGTAGTTTATATGCCAAATATACATTATTCTCCAATACATGCTCTGTATTTTATAATAGAAGGTTAAAATGTATTGTGGTTTGACTTTTAAATGTCTTGTTTGTCTCAGTTGAGGCAGGAGTGTTCTCTGGCTGAGCTGATGGATCATGAAAGCTGTATGGTGAAGCAGATTAGATCTCTGGACAGTGACATGCAAACCCTGGTTTATGAAAACTACAATAAGTTCATCTCAGCCACAGGTTAGCAGATGGATGAAATGATAAATATCGGAATGTAATGTTGTTCAGATTTACCGTTTATGTCACCATGAAATCAAAATTTACATTTCTTGTTTTTATGGAATATTGCAGTGCGCCTTATAAATTATTTATCTTTGCAAATCATTATTATTATTTTGTAATTCATGTGCCCTCTTAATCTTCTGAAATTACGTGTTTAGTGGCGCGAGGGCGGGACAATCTCCTGTCACAAAAAGTCTCGCCCCATATATTTTCTTGTTCGAGAAGCCGTTTGAGTGAGCCCATAATATAAACGCAGTGTGCTAAATTGCACTTTAAGCGTTTTCTTTATAAGGGTTTTCTGAACGCATCTGTTCACCTGTATACAGTCTGTAAGGTGTATTTAACAATCCAATCAGTTCCTGATTGACAAAATCAAGTCCTGCCCTACATCTTTTCTTGCTCGAGAAGCCATTTCACTTTGATGTACATAGGGAAAAAAGACCATTTAATTTCTGTTATTATGCTGACTTTAATGACATTTCTCCAGCATGGCTGGTCTTCAAGTTTCTTTGATGGTTTTGTTTGGACATTAATCACACTATTGTGTCATTCATAACCCTTCTCTGATGATGTTAAAAGTGTATTTGTCTTTCCACAGACACAATCAGAAAAATGAAGAATGACTTCAAGAAGATGGAAGATGAAATGGACTGCTTGTCAGCCAACATGGCCGCTATCACAGAGTTTAGTGCCCGCATTAGTGGGACGCTGCAGGGCCAGCATGCACAGATAACTAAACTATCAGGTATGAAATGAATACCGGTAATAAATGTATGATCTATGACTGGTTCATTTTACAGCCTTGTATTGCTAGTATAACAACCATTATGTCTTCAAACCACATTAAATACTCTCAGATACAATTGATCTAAAGGCTTTAAAAGAATTCTGCTCAAGTCATGAATCTTTCACCTTCTGTATAGGTGTTCACACTCTCCTCCGTAAGCTGCAGTTTCTGTTTGAGCTGCCAGCAAGGCTTAATAAGTGTCTGGAGTTGCAGGCCTTTGCCCAGGCAGTGAGTGCCCACCGGAGGGCACGGTGTGTACTGCAGCAGTATAGTCATATGCCCTCTTTCAGGGGCATCCAAGACGACTGCCATGTCATTATGGAGCAGCTCGCTCAACAGCTGCGCCAGAAATTCAGGTCTGTGCTCTCTCGGATGTCACTGGATATTTGTATTAGTTTTGGAAAAAATTTAGATGCTATATTCAGTATAATTTAGCAAGAAGCATACAAAATTTGGTCCCAAATCAAAGTTGAGATGCTTCAACCATACATTATACAAGATGAAATGGGGGAAGCAGTGTTGCTATTGGTAAATAAAACTATTACAAATCATTTTCAGTAATTGAAATAAAGCTGAAATAAAATATAAATATTAGATGAATAAATGTAACTTTATTAAGTATTTATATGCATTAATCACACATTAATATTAATTATTATACAAAAAAATACTGTAACAGATATATTGCTCATTGTAAGTTAACGTCTGTTAATTAGTTAAAACTAATGTTAACAAATGAGACCTTATTGTAAAGTGTTACCAGCATATTCATAATTTTCATTATGATAATATTAATATTAGTATAATGAAAATTAGAAATAAAGCTTAAAAATACAATTAAAAAATGTAAATAGAAATATATATTTAAAAAAAACTAATTAAATAAAAACAAAGCCATATGTAGAGCACTTTGAGTACCCAGAAAAGCGCTATATAAATGTAACAAATTGTTGTTGTTGTTGTTGTTGTTGTTATTATTATTATTATTATATAAAAAATGAAAATATAAAATGAAAAGCTATTTCTAAATATTAATAGTATATACTGTAACTAATACTTTTATAACACTGGGATGAAGTGGGTTTTTTTTTTCTTACAGTACATGCCTCCCCTCAAATCTAATGTCATGTTCTTTATTAATGTAAAGGTAATATTTGCTTGCAGGGATGGAGGTTCGAGTGCTAAAGATCTCTCTGAATGCGTTGAGCTGCTTCTGCAGTTGGATGAGCCAGCGGAGGAGCTCTGTGACAAATTCCTCAGCCACGCCCAGTCTCGGTTGGAGGCGGATCTCCAGGGACTGGAGGCGGAGCTTAAAGACTCTGCGGTTACTGATACTGGTGGAGGCTCGGCCCAAAAAACAAGTCCTGGATCAAATCCCATATCTCCTAGTTCCTCTGCGTTCAATCCATTCCTCTCCCCTACGGCCGGAACAGACATTCTAGAGTTCATAGATCGCGGGTGTAATGAGTTTGTCAGCAGTCTCTGTTTGGTTATTGCCTCCTATCAAGAATTGTTCATCAACCGTCCCCAAGAAGGTGAATTAGCTTCGAAGAACATCCCAGAGATGGCTAATGGCAAGCTACATGTGTTTGTCGACAATTTAGCTGCTAGGTATTTCTCTCTAGTGGAGCGGAGGATACAGGAAGAGAAGGGAGTGGGAGATAACTCTCTGTTAGTGAGAGCTCTGGATCGCTTTCATCGCAGATTACAGGCCATATCCAAACTACTTCCGGGGTCAGCAGTGCCCAGCCAAGGAACTGAGATAGTGGTGCGAGCAGCAGGAGAGAGAATCAAACAGTACCTGTCTGCCTTACAGACCTTCTACCATGACAGCCTTACTGATGTAAGACAGGCATTGGCTGCCCCTCGTCTATCAGTGGGTGGGGCCAGTGCATCGGGAGGTGGGGCTCTCGTAGGAGGGACTGCAAGCAAGGATGCCCCGCCCAGTCTGCCAGAACTGCTGATGTCCTTATCAAACTTTATTCTGAATCAGTTAAAGTCTGTATTAGCATCAGTGCATCTCTTCACAGCAAAGGACATCACATTCTCCAACAAGCCTTATTTCAAGGTAAAGAATGAACTGTATATATGTAACTTAAAAACTTGTATATAAAATACTTACATTTTAGTATCGGACCTTTCACACACTTGTCACACTTGTGATCCTCTGCGGTCAAAACAGACTGAAGACAGTAAGCTTAATTTTTTTTATGAAATCAATGTACTATACAGTGTTTAATTTAAAGGTATGTAACATTCAATAAATGGAAGGTAGATTTGTGCCATCTGGTAGGAGAAATAAAGAAAATGATACGCAATACAATGGTATTACTACTACCACTAAATGACTGTATAGAACTATTATAGATGTTTTCAAAGAGCACAATGGTGTTCAAGTGTGACTTTTTTTAAAAGATCATTTCGGCTTTTCTACTCATGCCTAAAATTGTTCATGTTCATATAACAAGTGTCAAAAAAAGTCATCAAGTTTTATACTATTCCAATCCAAACTCAAAACATAAATTTTACGGTCTAAAATAGCTGAAGACCACCAGAGGGTTAAAGGGTTAGTTCACCCAAAAATTAAATTCTGTCATCATTTACTCACCCTCATGTCGTTCTATCCAAACCTGTAAGACTTTCATTCATCTTCGGAAGACAAATTAGGATATTTTTAATAAAATCTGAGAGATTTACGTTCCTCTGTTGACAGTTACGCAACTACCACTTTGACGCTTCAAAAAGTACATAAAGAGATCGTAAAACTAATCCATATGAATTGAGCAGTTTAGTCCAAATTTTCTGATGAGACACGCTTTATATGATGAACAGATTTAATTTAGGCTTTTATTCACATATAAACATTCATCAACTCACACATCAATTGTGGTAAACGGAAGCTTAAGTATGTTCGCTTGATGTGTGAGATCAAATGAGGTTTATTGTTCTGTTGCACTGCACTTCACTGCACTTCAGCAAGAACCAATGAGGTTTGTTCAAGCGCGTCAAGCAGGTACTATTGAGCTTCTGCTTATGTTTGCTAATCAATGTTTACATGTGAATAAAAGCCCAAATTCAATATGTTCGTCACACAAATTGATCGTGTCTCTTCAGAAAATTTGGACTAAACCGCTCTATTTATATGGATTAGTTTTACGATCTCTTTATGAACTTTTTGAAGCGTCAACATGGTAGTTGCATAGCTGTCCATGGTAAATAATCACATTTTTGGGTGAAGTCACCCTTTTTAAAAGTATTACTGTCGTTTGTCTAACACCTGTCTTGTATGTTTCTCTCAGGGTGAGTTTTGCAGTCAGGGTGTGCGTGAGGGTCTGGTGGTGAGCTTTATTAAGTTTATCTGCCAGTCGTCTCGGCAGTACTGTGAGAGTGCAGGTGACAGAGGAGGATCCACCCCTCCTGCCCTCCTTCTGTTGCTCTCTCGTCTCTGTCTGGACTACGAGACCTCCACCATCTCCTACATTCTCACACTCACAGATGAACAGTTTCTTGTACAGGTATTCCATATCCATTATATTCTGATAAAAACAAACTCTAAATACACTACTCATGCTGACTTTCCTCTCTAAACAGCACCACACTCCAGTCACTCCTGTTACAGCACTTTGTGCAGAGGCCAGAGAAGCAGCTCAGAAATTACTGAACCACTATGTTAAGGTAATTAATAGAAAATATTTAGCTGTCCTGAGTCATTTATTTTGGTCTAGGATTGTTGCTGGACAACATTTGTTGAGCTGGTTTTGTTTTATACAGGTTCAGGGGTTAATCATTAGTCAAATGCTGAGGAAGAGCGTGGAAACAAGAGACTGGGTGAACACCATTGAACCTAGAAATGTTCGAGCTGTAATGAAGAGGGTGGTGGAAGATACTACCTCTATTGATGTACAGGTGATGCATCGAACATTTGTTCCAAATGTCATATACAAAAAAAATCTTAATCATTTTCATAAGCCAATTGTAATGTTTCTCCTTCCTGCATTTGTCTAGGTGGGACTGCTTTATGAAGAAGGAGTGAGGAAAGCGCACAGCAGTGACTCCAGCAAACGCACATTCTCTGTGTACAGCAGCTCAAGACAGCAGATCCGCTACGCACCAAGCTACACACCCAGGTGCACAATCACTGCACTCATTTTACTAAGTTATGACGTGCATTTGAAAATGCAACCTGCGTCAACCATCTTCCCAAATTTGTAATAAAAAGCTTTTATAAATCTTTAGTCAAACAAATAGAAGCTTTAGGGCAGGGCTGTCCTGCACAGTTCATCTCCAACCCTTATCAAACACACCTGCCTTTAATTTCAAGTGATCCTGAAGACCTTAATTGGTTGCTTCAGGTGTGTTTGATTAGGGTTGGAGATAAACTGTGCAGGACAGTCGATCGGCAGGAGCAGGGTTGGGCACCCCTGCTTTAGGGCCTCCCTGCATTTTTTTCCGGTAAAATATAAGCTATGTTTTAACATTTAAAAAAATAAATGAAGACAGCCATGAATATTAATATTGAACATTTATTTAATATTATAAATGCATGTTTCTTATTTTACGGTATTATTGCAATAATACTTACATTATTATTGCATTAAATTATTGGAGTATTATTGGAATGATTATTTAAGTACAGTTTGAATAATATTTATATTATATAATCTTATATTTTGAATATTATTATTGTATGGTATTAAATGGGATGGGGGGATGGGGTCAGGTCTTCCCCTTCTTTTTTGTCTTTAGATGATCACATGCCTGAGTTCTGTAAAGGTATAATGGAATATATAGTCACACATTGATACAGGATATTGTTTATGTTTTGTTTTGTTTTTTGTTCCAGTGCTCCAATGGACACAAACTTGCTCAGTAACATTCACAAACTATTTTCTGAGAGGATCGATATATTTAGCCCAGTGGAGTTCAACAAGGTAGAAAACAAAACACTATTAGCTAACTATTGTTACTGTAATTTATCTAACTGACCAATGCAGATTTTTGTATTTGAGTGTTTTCAGTCTGTAATATCAGTTTTCTTTCCTAGGTCTCAGTGCTAACTGGCATCATTAAGATAAGTCTGAAGACATTCCTTGAATGTGTCCGTCTCCGTACGTTTGGCAGATACGGACTGCAGCAAATCCAGGTGGACTGCCACTACTTACAGATGTACCTGTGGCGATTTGTGTCTGATGAGAACTTGGTGCACTTCCTGTTGGATGAGATTGTGGGTAGTGCCGCCCATCGTTGCTTAGACCCGTCTCCAATGGAGCAAAGTGTCATTGAGGTCATCTGTGAGAGGGGGTAGAGTGGGTGCTTTTCCTTAAATCTGCAGTCTAGTTTGCACATAGGTGAAACTGAACTCAATTAGTGGACAATATTAATACTTATATTTGAAGTTTTTCTTGTATCTGGTCGCTTGAACACTGAATATAAAGTCTGTGACCTCCAATTGAACCCTATTACAGCTGGATTGAGAGTGCCCTTTTTTGGGGGCGAACATTGGGTGCTAAAAGGTCAATTATGAAGATCTGAACTCAACAGTAAAAGTAAATAAAGCCATTTATTTAACTAAAATCACTATATATTAAGGGTAAGGTGATTTGTTTATAAAACAAATCAGTATGTTTGAAATTTTTGTTTTATTGTTGATTACTGTATTCATCAACTTTGAAGGCTGTTCAATGTGCATAACTGGATAGTATGTATTTAATAAACGTAATGCACAAAAAGAACTTTGCGTCTAAACGTGTCTTGGGAGGAGAAACTGCTGTTATTTAATGCACTGTAATAATATGAAGCCAGAGCAAACGCTCTCCCCATTGGTCAGGAAAGTAGTAGGGGCGGGTTTTTCCGCTTTACTCTAATTCGGATTGGTCCCCTGGTTGTCTCTCCCCACTCTTCTGATAGCAGCGGTACGCGCTGATTGGTCAGAGACAGTACATGCAAACAGCGTGTTCTGGGCGGAACTACGCAGGCGTCACCTTCTCAGTCATTAACTGTGATGATGATGAGCGGCTACCATACAATATAACAGTAAGTTGGTGGAAAACCGAGGTAAGAGAAAAACACGCTATGTTTATTTTATGTATATATTCATGTTTTGTTTGGTTGATTCGCTGAAGTCTGAGAATAATCATGATATTACGAATGCCTGCGTCTTTTACACATATTATATTAACAAACGCAATGTAATTTAAATAATGCCCTATTCTTGTATAATGAATGTGTTGTCAGCCATGCTAAGTGGTCTCCTCTTCTCTCATTTTTGTCCCAAACAGGCAAAAATGAAGCCGAACAAGCACAAAGCATTACATTCAGCTGAAAGGGAATTTGGGGGTACTCTTGGTGAGCCATTATTTGTTTTATATGTTTGTGTATGTGTAATAATAATGGATCTACTGTGTGATTACATATGGCTTCTGTGCAATATTTAAGATTAGTTGTTCTCCTCGCCTGTCCAGGTGCCACCTGCATCCCTGTGTTTCTGCCTCTGACTGTTCTGTACCTCCTGAGTGTGTGTCGGTCTCCAGAAGCCAGTGTCCTGCAGTGGCCCCCTCCTTTAACCCCCGCAGCACATTTATGGGACCCTTTGGCTGCGGTTCTGGTTGTAGGTTGGATCACCCTGCAGAGTTTTCTCTACCTGCTGCCCATTGGAAAGGTGAGATACTGTATCATTCATTTCTTTGAAAGTCATTAGATAATTTTCTGAAGAAAGAATGTCAGAATTTACACTAATTTATTTGTTCACAGGTTTCTGAAGGATTGGTCCTCAGAGATGGATCCAGATTGAAATATCCCATAAATGGTAAAATAGGCTGGCTGTATGTCTGAAATAATGCTAATACTGGCTGATTTACATTTGATTAAAAAGGATAGCCTTTGACCCCCTTGTCCTTGTTTTTTTTTTTTTTTTTTTACCACCTATGATATACAATGTAAAGTTCAAATTCCATTCGTCAGTAATCTCCGATTTCCCCCTATATCTGGACTGTGCTTCAAAATAAAATACATTTTATTTTAATATAATATGCTTCATTATTCTAGTGCTGATTTGGTGAAGAAGAAACCATATTTTTATGGAAACCATGAAACCAAACAACTGTCTGACCCCAAACTTTTGAAATGTAGTGTATATGTATGTGTGTGGATATGAATGTGACCTGTAAGTTTTTTCTTAGGTTTCCATGCCTTGAGCATTACTGCTGCCCTGTTGATCGTATGTGTTTTGCTGGGAATGCCACTCGGGTATCTGTTTGAGCTCATTTTGCCTCTGGCTGTCTGTGCCATTGGGCTGTCCTACCTGCTGTCTATGTACCTGTATATCCGCTCTTTCTGGGCACCTCAACTTGCTTTATCACTTGGAGGAAACACAGGTGAGATAATCAGTTCTGATACTTATTTTTTATATTATCTATAAGTAATGTTTCACTATGCATGTAGTCACTTGACCTCTTTGATGCAGAATCCTTTCAGATATTCCAGATGCTGCTGTTTGTCAGTTCAGTTTCTTTGTCATTTGTAGGAAATCCTCTGTATGACTTCTTCATGGGTCGAGAGCTCAACCCTCGCATTGGAGACTTTGACTTGAAATATTTCTGTGAACTAAGACCTGGATTAATAGGCTGGGTAAGAGTTTTAATCTTTTTGAAAATAGTCTCTATTCTCATCAAGGCTTGATTTATTTTACCAAAAATGCAGCACATAGTAACATGGTGAAATATTATTATGAAAATACAGTAAAATTTGTGAAATATTATTACAATTTAAGAGAACTAATTTAATATATTTTAAGATGTAATTTTTGTCTCTGATGGCAAAGCTGAATTTTCAGCACCATTACTCCAGTCTTCAGTGTCACATGATCTTTCAGAAATCCTTCTAATATGCTGATTTGGTGCCCAAGAAACATTTCTTATTATTATCAATGTTGAACACCATTGTGTTGCTTGCTTAATATTTTTGTGGAAACTCTAATACATTTTTGATCAGGATTCTTTGATGAATAGAAAGTTCAAAAGAACAGCATTTATTTGAAATATAAATATTTTATAACAATCGTCTTTACCGTCACTTTTGATCAATTGAATGCATCCTTGCTGAATGAAAGTATACATGCAGGTTCAGGTTATGCAACTTTAAAATTAACACCAAAGTATTTTTACCTATGTCTCTTTTTATTTTTTCAGGTGGTAATAAACCTGGGGATGTTAATGAAAGAAGTAGAGTTGAGGGACTCTCCATCTCTTGCCATGCTGCTTGTCAACGGCTTCCAGCTCCTCTATGTAACAGATGCACTGTGGAATGAAGTATGACAAAACTAGTCTAGTCTGAAAACTTATGAAATGCATTTATAATGGTGGAAGGAACTGTTTGGAATATGTAGACTAAGTCCCACATACATAACATTATACTTTTCCTTTTATCTGCAGGAGGCTGTGCTTACTACTATGGACATTGTGCATGATGGATTTGGGTTCATGTTGGCGTTTGGCGATCTGGCCTGGGTTCCCTTCACATATGGCCTTCAGGCCATGTTTCTGGTTGTACACCCACAGTCACTCAGTACTCTTGGAGCAACAGGGATTATTCTTCTAAATGGTAATCTACAGCCTGTTTTGCAGCAATCTGAGCGTTTAACAGTTTCTAACTTTCCTCTTTTCAATCGTTCACAGGAATGGGTTATTTCATTTTCCGGAAGTCCAACTCTCAGAAAAACCAGTTCAGAAGAGACCCCACACATAAAAGTGTAGAACGTCAGTAATCGCATTACTACAAACTTTGAGTTTGTATCAAGTGAACACATTATCAGTATCTAACACATGAAACAGGATGCATTTTTTACTGGAGAGACAAATAGGGCCTCCAGATGAATATAAAATTTTTTTCTCTTCCACCCTTTTTCACTTGTAGACCTGGAAACTATTGCCACGGCAACAGGAAAGCGGCTACTGGTGTCAGGGTGGTGGGGGTTTGTCAGGCATCCAAACTACCTGGGGGACCTTCTCATGGCTCTGGCCTGGTCCCTCCCTTGCGGTAAGTGATAAGCAAATTATTAATAACTGGTGTCCTTCGTTTCAGTTACATGCTGATCATTTCAGTTACAAATTGTCATCATTTACTCACCATCATGTCATTCTAAACCAATAAAACTTTGATACCTGAGAGGTTTCTGTCCCTCGATTGAAAGTCCAGGTAACCAAAACTTAGAATCAAACAGGTCATAAAAAGATATATTTGAATTGAGCGGTTTATATTCAAGTCTTGCGATAAATGAGATTTATTTTGGCTTTTATTTGACATTTAAACCATCTAAACAATGATCTTCACACATACACAGAGCACAACACAATTTTTACCAAAATATCTTAATTTGTGTTTCGAAGATTAACCAGTCTTATGGGTTTGAAAGAAATGACATGTGAGTGAGTATGATGATAATTTTCTTTTTTGTTTCTTTTGGTGAACTATCACTTTAAATACAAATGTATTAGCTGTTTGCCAGTGTATTTTAAACTATCCATGTTTTGCCATCAAAATAAATAAAAGGAAATGTAAGACAAATCATACTTCCAATATAATAATTTGTTTATTCCACTTTTTTCCCTAGGAATGTCACATATTCTGCCTTACTTCTATGTCATATATTTCACCAGTCTGCTCATCCACCGAGAGGCCAGAGATGAGAAGCAATGCAGAGCCAAGTACGGACTGGCCTGGGACACCTACTGCAGACGTGTGCCCTACAGAATAATCCCGTTCATTTATTAATGCGGACTGATGTGTTCTGAATGACCAAAAGATTGCTGCGTGCAACTATTTAGGTGCAAAAGTGTATGTCATCATCGGTGCCGAGAACCAGATATCCATTGAGCCAAGATAATATATATACATTGTTTTGTTTTTTTGCATCATAACATGTTCATTCAAATGTTTGTTTTTTTTAAATATGAAAAATATGTTGTATTATATTATTAAAAAGCATTTCAATATCATCAGTGCTTTTTGAATCTTCAAGTGTGGACTAGCATAAATGACATTTAAGGATACTCAACAACCACAATTTTTTAATTCTTTAAATTGCATTACACACAAATGGTTTTTAAAAGACAATTGCCTTATTATTACTAATATATAGTAATAATCACAATCTCACTCAATTTCTTCTATCAACGCACCTTTACCTCTACTTTTTTCCCGTCCCTTTTCCAAGCGTTTCTTCTCTCCCTCTAATGTCATCCTCTCCTCCTCCCTTCTCTCATAGTCCGTCCACACGCATCCTGCCAGACTCCTCAAAGCTCTGGGATTCTCTTTCACCCAAGACTGAAAAAACTGGCACTTCTTTCCAGCTTGAAAAAACAGCCGCCTTGTCCGCTCGTCTTCCTTCGGAACAGAAGCCTTTGCCTCGCTCAAAGCTGTGCGCAGCTGGGACAGAGCGGACAGTGCATATCCCTCAGTGTCCTCTCTGCTCTCTCCAGTCAGAATATGAGCCACCGCTTCCACAGCTCGAAGGGAAGCTAAAGGGTCCTCGGAATCAAAGTATCCTCCTGCAGATACTGCCCTTATCCCGGCGTCAAGTGCCTCTGGGACAGAGTTGAAGACCCGTCCGCCGCCCAGACCCTCAGAGATGGCAAGCACCGCCTGACAAAACTCTAGCAGAATCTCTGAGAAGTCTCCATTGTAGAGACACAGGGAGAAGGTGTAACTGTAAAGAGCATTGATCAGGTTGAACCGCACTAGAGGAGATGGCTTTGACGATAGCGTGTGAAGAGGGGGAATTTTGGCACTTATTGGAGGGATTGAGCGTCTTAGTGTTTTGTCTGATTGTACTTTACTGTGACTGACTTGTTTGTTTTTTTCCTCTTTTTTCTCATTCACATCGTGCCTTTCTTCCTGATTCTCAGACTGAAGTTCCTCTATAAGTGCTTTAGTGTTCTTTTCATGCCGTTCCCACCAGGGGCTCCACAGGACAACTAGCCCACCGATGCCACCTTCTTTCACTAGACTCTCAAATTTCTCCTTTTCCTGGGCTGACAACAACGACCAGAGTTCTTCCTCTGAAAGAAAGTCGATATCGAGCCCGGTTAACTTTTCAGCTAAATCAGCTTCCTCTTCATCACTCCTGTGTTCAATATCTCCGAGTTTCGCCAGTATTTCTTGCACCTCGTGAGTTTTTTCATCCCCGCCAGATTGAATCTCTGCCAACCTAGAAAGCAGCTCCAAAGCATGTGCGTCTTGTTCAGTCACACTATTTTCATCTTCTCCCAAGTTCCTTAATAAATTCTCCATCCCTCTCTCACTCTCTGCACTCTGTCTGAGCCGTGACAGAATTTCATGCATTTTCCTTTTCCCCTCTTCATCTGTGGCACCTTGTGATTTGAGCTCCTGAAGCACAGACTCTCTGTAAAACTCCTCTGAGCATGAGGAGTGATTCTGACTCCTGTAACAAGCCAGTCCGCAATACAGGACGTTACACCTTGGGCAAGTGTAACAGGACGGTTTGGATAAGCAAAGCCCACATGGCTTGACTAATGATGCATTTCCATCAGTAGTTCCGTCCTTTGTGCCATAAGCAGGTGTCAGGAGAGGTTCAGAAGTCCCTCTTTTGGGAAGTGCAATCCCATCTTTGGTGGTAATCGAGTCAGAGTCTGTTTCTGGCCAGTCGCTAAAGTGTTCTTCCTCCTTTGGTGCAATATCAGTGAGTAATGAACGAACACACGCAGGGATTTTACGTCTAACAACGGGATCCATGAGAAGCTAATTTCCTGAGTTAGAATGCATTTGTATGATAGTTATGATCTGCAATTAAAACGTAAAATCATCTTTAAATTCAATTACACATCAACAGCACTACTAATAAAGTTTTTTTTTGGTATTTATCTTACCTGACAAAAATCTGTGTATGCGCACTTTGTTTTCTCACACACACAAATAAACTTAAAAAGTAGAGGATCTTTTCGTCAGCGCGTGTTTATAATATGCGTTCATACTGACGCGTCACGTTAGAACTACGTTGATCGTCGCAACATGATGACGCATACGTCCTTTTGCTCTAAACGACAAGGCTGCGCAATATTTGCGCAGATTGACAGACAGCCAGATAGATTTTTGTCGTTTTTCTCTTTTATATTGTTTTATTGCTGTATTCATACTTGTATGTTTAATATTTGAACGAAAGTATGAATAACCAACATAAATCCGAAATATGTTACAGAAGAGAGCAATAAGGATTGTAAATCAGGTTTACTATGTGAACCAACAAATATATTTAATCAATTACATGCTTTAAAATGTGTTGATTTAGTTGTTTTTTTTCACTGCACAGGGGATGTATAAAGTGTGTAATAATTTACTTTCTAATTGTATTCAGAGGTTTGAAATGAGAGAAAGTCAGTAAACTAAGGGGAATCTAAGCATTTAAAAAGAGTAAAAAAAAATAAGAACTAATGTAAAAAATGTATATCTGTCAAAGGGGTTAACCCATAAAATAATTGTGACAGGAATTAAGAATGTGTAGTTCACTTTGTAAATATTATTATTATTATTATTTAAATAAGGTGGTAAACAAATAACTCGAAATGAATAATTTGTGTATGTGGAATTTTCAAATTATTTTATTAATGTTTGAAATATGTACCTTTTTAGTTAAGTATCCACATTTTGCGAAATGTCTTATGTAACTGTTTTTGTTTATTTTGTATAAATCAACTCCAGTGAGAAAAGTGACACTTACTAATTGTGTTAAAAGGGTAGGCATAATAAGCATAGGCCTAAGGCTATACACCTTTTTTCCATGTATATTTTGTAAATTATCATGAAGATAGTCTATGAGGACCAAAATAAATTGAATTGTTATTGTACATAATGCTATTCAATAATATGTATGTTTTATTAGAAATATATTCCAGACACAAGTATCACAAATCGGATTTTGAGAATACCTTATATTTATTTGTTTTAATCCTAAACATCAGGGATAACATGAAAAATGTTAACAAACTGACAAACTTATCACTCAGCCTTTTCTGTATTGCAATTCAGTTCATTGGCTGTGGCTTTTGAGACTCCAGTGACTGTTCACCACTTCAGCATTTAAAATCCCTTCTTCAGAAGCCAGTCCTTCAGCTCTTTATCAAACTGCCCTTTAATTCTAATAGTCCCGGTTACTTCGTTGACCTGTGTTGGAGGCTCTTTGCCCGTAAGCCCCAGCAGGAATTCCTTAACATCCTTGTTCAGGGCCTGGAAACGATTGATGTAAAGTAGAAAATAGAATAATCTTGGACCATTATATTATTACACATAGTGCTTCTAAACACGTCTGTTCATTACACTCACCCATATGTCTCCCTCAACCTTTCTGAGCAGAGTGCTTTGCTGATTCCCATGCTTGATGTCAGAGTAAACAGGAACATTGTGCATTCTGGAGCGACGGATCATGTAGGGCAGTGAAGGTGGAGTATCTGTGTAAATAATAAAAAACAAATAAAACTCCATCAATAAAAATATCACAAAATACTTTTCCCACAACTCATTAAAAATGCAATATGATGCAAAATATCTACCCCTTATAGCTAAGAGACTGGTATGATCATATGTATTTTCCCATCTAGGATAACAATAAAAGTGCGTCTACCTGGTGGTGGGATCCATCCTGACGGTGCAGGACCATCACGTCTAGGAGGAGTTGGGATGCGTGAAGGAGGAATAAGTCTCTCCACAAACCTGAACTCTTCTGTGGATTCAATGATGCCCCCTGATCCTTCAGGAGGGCTGTTTTGTGTCTAAAATCAAACAAAACAGTCTTGTTAAAGCACCCATCTATGTTTCAATATTAAGCTAAAATTGTTGGTTGTTATTGCACAAAACCACTCGCAACATTTCAAGAACAAATCATCCCGATGCAAATTAACATTGCGACATTCAATGCACCCTATTATTAAACTACAAGGATAAATTATAAGGTAAAACTGATTGTGATACTAACTCTTAAGCAAGCTCCACAATTCAATGAACGCGTGGCTGGATTAAAAGCTCTGTAAGCAACTCGGCAGACTGTCAAAGACATGCTTCTGACGGAGGCGGACATTTCTCTTTTCTGAGAGAGAGGAAGGACAGCAAAATCTTACGTCATGAGTCTGAATGAAAAGCTTTATTGACAACAGAAAAAAATGCAAGACCTTGACTAAAATCTATATTTATAACATGTTATTTTCACTTCTTTGTACCAAGAAATTAAAACGCAACATTATAATAAAATTGTGCTTAAAATGCTGTCCATGGGACTTTTAAGTGGCTTTAATAAAATGCGCATGCGCACAGCATTTTCTAGAAACGCGTAAACAACACTTCTGACTTTTTGATGTTGTGTTTGGCGCTCGTAGTCATCTATATCGATTCATGTTAGTAGTACTTGTCTTTACTTTCAATATATAAGTAATAGTGGTGATGATATTGTGCCGTTTGTGACAATTCTGTCAAGGTAATGACATTTTAATTCTCTGTTACGAAGACTTGACACCATGCAGTTGTTTGTTCGTGCCCAGACTTTGCACTCCGTTCATCTGAATGGGTCCGAGACTGTTGCCCATATCAAGGTACTTTGTGTTACAGTACGCATTTTATACAGTTTATTTAGAGAAACCTGAATCGGAAATTGCATTTCACGAACTGTACTTGTTTTCTCAGGCTCAGATTGAAGCTTTGGAGGGTCTGGCCTGTGATGATCAGATCATTTCACACTGCGGGATTCCCCTTCAGGATGAGACACTGGTTTGTCAGTCTGGTATTGAGGAGTTCAACACTCTTGAGGTGTCTTCGAGGCTGTTAGGAGGTAAGGATCAAACCCCCATGCCTTTATTACCCTCTACCTGTTACCATTTACCATGGTAATGTTGTAGATGGAAGGTCTGATGAATTCCATTATTTTAAACATCATTTGTGCTGAAAATAGAATATCAAAGAAATTATAAATATTCCTTTATGATAATTGGTATTTGCCTCTTTATGATCCATTTTTTCATAAATATAACCTCTCCCAACCCAAAGGCAAAGTCCACGGTTCCCTGGCTAGAGCAGGAAAAGTCAGAGGACAAACTCCCAAGGTAAGTCTACACGTATTTGTGTCCCTACTTATACCATTCCCTATAAGAATGTACTCTTTCTGTGAAGAAAAAGTACAGAATTTTGTGTAGCAGATGAGTAGGCAACTTTTGGGACATTCTACCATGTCATAATGATGTCTTCAATGGACCGCGAATGTGAATCCTGTCACCGTAAACTGTCCTGTCAGTCATATTGTCACAGTTAAAGGGATAGTTCACCCAAAAATGAAAATTCTGTCATCATTTACTCACCCTTAAGTTGTTCCAAACCTGTATTTCTTCTGCCGAACACACAAAAAAAGATATTTTTAAAAAATGTCATTGTCAGTAACCAAACAGCTGATGGACCCCATTGACTTCCATAGTATTTATTTTTCCTACTGTGGAAGTCAAAGGGATCTATCAGCAACTTGGAACAATTTGAGGGGGAGTAAATGATGACAGAATTTTCATTTTTGGGTGAACTATCCCTTTAACGTCTTCATATACACACACTTCACATTTCACTTCATTTAATTTGCTCTACAGTCTTCCTACTGTACTGGAGAGAAAAGTAGCATGTTGATATGAGAGTGGAGGGTCTTTCATGTGGAGAAACTCCTTGCCTTTTAGTATAATGCTGCATTTAAAAGTTCACAATGTTGTTGCAGATTTGATAAAGGATTTCTCCAATCATTTTGTTCACTTAAAACCTTACCCCGAAGCTTCATTTCAACATTCTATGATTTTGGACACACTTATTCTAATTTTGAGAATTTATTAGGATGAATAGTATGCAAATACAAAATATTGCATAATATTGTGAGAATCCTAATTGTGAGCATTTACTTGTTTATTGACTTATTGCACCGATATTGATCCTTTCAGGTGGACAAGCAGGAAAAGAAAAAGAAAAAGACCGGCAGGGCAAAGAGAAGAATTCAGTACAACCGGCGCTTTGTCAATGTTGTCCCAACATTTGGCAAAAAGAAAGGACCAAATGCCAACTCATAATTTTCTCTTCAAAACGACTATCAATGTTCACTGCATTCCTGGGCAGTTTTCTTTGCTTTATCAGTAATAGATTTTTTGATAGGAAAATTGTAATGTAAAAGCCAGCTGATTCATACAACTAATTTGTGCACTTTATATGCTATAACGATGTTTTGTACAAGTATAGTATAGTAAAAGAAAGATGGTTTGTAAGTTGCAAAAAAAAAAAAAAACATTTAATGCAATATGATTGATTCATTTCATTTGCACGGTTTTACTGTACATTGGAATAAAATTTGAACTTTGCAGCATCATGCACTGTGGCTTTGGTGATTCATTCTAAAAGTCCATGTCAATATAGGAGCAGCAAGTGCAACGTTATTGTTTTCTTGTTTTCTTTCCCACTGGATCAGCGATCACCGCGAGACCCCAAGAAGCCAAACCTGGAGAGAAAATGTCTCAAAGTCAGATCTGATTTCATAACTCATAACAGAGAGTGCATTAATGATCTCACCTGCTGCAAACATGATCTGAGCCACTCTCCCCATAGATCTGGGTCCACCTAAATGTTTTAATTTCTGCGCTTGCATGAAAACATATCCGCCTGAAGCCAGCAGCCCACCGCCCGAGAGGATTCGACAGCTCCAGCAGTTCTCAGAGAGCGGTTTTGTGACAGGACTCGACTTCTCCGGTAGTGGCGTTGGACTTGACATGTTCTGGAGAAAGTGTCAAAGCTCCTTTTGTACTGTTCTCAGCTGTTTATAAACAATGACACGGTCTACTTTCCAAATAATTTGGTAACATTGTTAATCTTGATACAGAGACCTATCCACCAGCACTAACTCTATCAAACATTTGGACGCATTGTGGAAAATACCGTTGACCTTAAAAACCGGAAGCATTCCGTGTTAGCGCTGTGTTATGCACTCGTGCAAGTCATTGCTGTGCAGATATTGCGCAGGCACGATTACCATTCTACTACAGAGCGTAATAGAAACACTATTCACTTAACTTGTTCACGATTGAGATGTACAATATAAAGGGTACGGCCAAATATTTGTACAAATATAATTAACACAAAAAAACACTTTGTTTTATTTACAATTTAAATACATATATTTAAACAATTTTACTTGTAAAACACTAACCCTGTTGGATAATCCAGGTTTTTGGACCAGCCATAAAACCAGCAAATAGCAGGTCATGCCAACTTAATATGTTTAAGTTGTTTTTGGAACATATGGTCCAAAACGGCAACTATTTTAAGATTATTTATCCAGGAAGGAAAACAAAAGTAAAGCAAATCTGTCAGTGCCATTCATGGCCATGTCCATCAAATAATAACCAACATCATAGCCTATGACATGGAGCATTTGCAGAGAATTTATTTAAATAAGTCACAGCCTTCATACTTTTCCTCCCATGCATATGTACATAATCCCGGTAGCATGTTAAAGTCTGATATGTGAAAACTCATTCCATCATTTCTGGCTCCCAATTCCACGTGCAATGTTTTCATTGGTCTCTGCAGCCTCTTTCAGCACCTGGAGCATGAGGGCATTTCTCTTCCTGCTCTCCTCCATTCGGAGGGGGTTGGCCTCGGGCAGATTCTGGAAAAATAGAGGGAGAGATGGATCAAGGTTACAAATCTTATCAGGAATTTGAACTATAATTTCAGATGCAATTTAAAAACCTCATAATATTGTTTAAACATTCTCGTGAACAAGGTGTTATTAATCCATGACTAAGTGCTATTATCCAATGCAATGGAACAACAACAACAACTAATGCAGCTCACTCATAATTGTTATTAACCCGGAGGCGTAAAAAGGGACTAGAGAGTAAATATCATCGATCAGAGTGTAATAAAACTTGACCCTGCTTAAATTAATTCGTTAATAAGAGATCGTGTAAGCCTGTACGACCACATGTTGACAAACAATTACATGAGGCACCTTCCTCGCATCAACCCCGCATTTTCTTTATAGGTTTGTGTTTCTCATTTATAGAGCTGCAATGTTTTCGTACCTTCAACATTTCCCTTTTCCTCTCTTCTCCTGGTGAAATTATGGCCCACATTCCGTAGCCGACACCGACAATCCCGACCAGCCCGATCGAGACCAACATGGTCCTCATGGCGCTCATTGTGTGCACGAGCTCTCCGCGAGCACGACAAAACTCTTTAATTATACGCTTGATATAAATGATCAAGTTTCCCTAGATCGCGGAAAAAGCTAGGTCAGTGTGAGTATACAACACTGTCAGTTGACACGATGCGGTGCATTGTGGGAGTAGCCTACATCATTATACAACTTTTTTAACCTGTTACTGGGAGATTTGGTCTGTAATTATTGTGTAAATGAACAGGCGCACGTGCTTTTAAGTCTTTTAACTCTCACATCACCTTTTACCGTCTAGTCGCACTTTCTACATACAACGGAGATGACCGTATTTCAAGCTAATATAAGAGTTTTGTTTTCTCCAATTATTTGTTTAGAACCTGGGATATACATTGTAAAACTAAATAAACACTAAATAATCAAATCGACAACAAACATATAATATAATATTTATATAATATAATAATTATAACTTTTTAATTGTATTTTTTTTTTTTTTTTTTTTTTTTTACAATGCTGTCAATACAATTTGTGTAGAAACATTGGATTATATTATTAACTTTCATGTGGAAAGGTTCCAGATAATGTTATTTCTTGGGTTTCATATTTCTAGGTGGTTGTTAAATTTTTTTGTAGTTGAATATTATCTATATAACAGGATTGGACAACATGTGGGACACAGCATAAGAGTTTTGGTAATAAAGCAGCTAATAATTAAAAAAAATTGAATTAACAATCAATTGAAAATCAATTTAATGGATTATGTGAAAATGACATTAACTGTTGGATATAGTCAAGAAGGTCAAGACCTCTGAGGCAGGACAGGCCAAAATCAACATTTTATAGACAGTGGATTCAGACATTTAGCTATCTACTTTTCATGCTAGGTGAATTGTTTGTTAGATAATAGTTCTCTAATGGTTTTCACTAGGCTATGCTAGGTAATAGGACACAAACACTACACTATTTGTGGAATGTGGTATGATGAGGTAATAAGTCAGGTATTAATCATTGACTATATAACAGAACATTACTTCAATTTGAAATATTGCTTTTTAAAATATTAGTCATCTTTCAAGGGTCAAATTAACGCATTTTGCATAATGCAAAGCTGCACGCTGACTGAATAAGTAAAACAAAACAAAAAAACAGCAGGACACAGAACAGTTGTTAATTATACTTTCCACCAGATGGCTCTAACATACTATCTGGTCTAAGTGTGTGTGTGTGTGTGTGTGTGTGTGTGTGTGTGTGTGTGTGTGTGTGTGTCACACACACTCCGTTCAGGCACAGGCACTGCAGGCTGTGTGGGTGTAGAGAAAGCACATAAGTGCTGATAATGTGTGTCCATCAGAGTCAAGGTGCAAAATAGATAGCTAGAAAGGAAGATATACATTAGTGTCCCTTTAAGCGACATTTTCCCAGCTTGAGCACATGTTGAGCTTTGTTCATCCCTTACGAAACATTGCTGTGGTAACCATATTTCTGCACAAACACCATAGATGCAGCTACTACAACACAACTAAGATAACTTGCTATTATCCATCACTGCCATAACAATGAAAGCAGAAAAAAACAAGATGATTCTAAAAACCTCTTACACCATTTAAAGAAGATGCCATATTCATATATTATGGTTCTAGAGCAATAACAGCCTGCATTTTACTGGAAATGGATTACATCCGGTTTAGTCAGAGCAGTCTAAAGGAATCCTATCAGAAACAAATTTTGTTGATAAGTTAAATGTGCATGATTATGTTTAGACTTTACAGAGTGCTTGACTCTTGCATTGTCAATACAAAATATTTACCAAAAATTGCTGCACCTCTTGATGGAAATAAATGTTGTGATGTTATTTCCATCAAGAGGTTCATCAATTTTTGGTCAAGATTTTGTATTGACAATGCAAGAGTCAAGCACTCTGTAAAGTGTAGCCTACTCCAGCACATCCCAAATACTTTCAATGAATTTAAGGTATAGACTCAGAGGTGCCAATTCATGTAAAATGATTCTTCATTTCAATTTGAGCCTGATGAATCTCTACATTGTCATCCTGAAATATGGCAATGATGTGTCTTCCTAAATGGTTCTTTAAGAAATAAAAAGCTACACATTCCATCTATTAGGGTTAGAAGAACCATTGCCAAACATGCTAGAAAGATAATTATCACTAATAATCCAATCATAGACTCTCAAGCATTTGCCCATTTAAATTCAAACAGTGACTTTTTGCCCGTGCAGTGTGTGTGTGTGTGTGTGTGTGTGTATTTTATATATAAAACATATTTTTTGTTCTAAAACTTCCAGCATTTAGAACTTTCAGACAGCCTACATGTTGTAACCACAGCGATTCCTTCACCTTTCCTGTTCTGAATTCCATCCGTGCTAGAGGTTTAAACTTCTAAAGTTCTGAAGCAGAAAGCGAGGTAATTTCTACTGGCTGCGTTATTGCTTGAATATTTAATCGTTTCCTGCTTCTCGCGCCCCCCACACCCCCTCCAAATCACTCAGTCTATAATGACACCTCTCACGCCAACCCCCTGGCTGCCTTTCCTCTCTGATTGCTACAGTAACGCTTGCAGATGCCTGCTCTTGTTGCCATGACTCCCGTTTTTTCCCGAAGGTGCACCGCTGATCATTGAAGGAAATATTCATGTGCGTGTCTGTGTATGTAGACTGTGTGTGGTTTACCTTCGATGATTATAGGTGTGCTTTGCATTTTTAAGCGGTAATAGTTTGCCCTTGTCTATGCAGTATTGTTTTATGTATACAGAACACATGCACGATGCTTTCATAATGTTCTCAACAGCGTTTAACACAGTTCAACACCTGTGTGGTGAGGTCCTGTGTGGTATTTCACAGTAGCACGTCCAGTATGAATGCTAATCATGGCTGGGATGGCGTTGGGAAGCAGAGCCCACTTACAGTTCTCGGCGGAATTTCAAACACTATTTCACACTTAGAGTTTGCGTATGTGTTGTACATAAATCATCTGTGGAAAGGGGAACATGGTATGTGTGAGTGCGTGTTTGGAAATAGATACCTAAAAGTCTGTACTTCCCAAATACAAAGTTCATCTTTTTTTCACATTAATATAACATAGTTAAACAAGTACATTATGCGCTTAAGCTTCTGCTCTGTGCAAAACTGACCTTTCTGTCTTGAGCAAATACATAACAAGAACATTGAGTGCTGGCCATAGTACGCTATTTTTATCCTGACTGTACACATAAATATACAGCTAATAAATTAAAAGTGTTGCAGGTAAAAAAATAATTTTGTAATGGTTGGTATGGGGGTTATGCTGCGTAGTGCGTTCACGCCATGACGCAATTACCGTAAATTAAGCTCTGTATGCTTTTGAATCGCTCTGACAGTATTTTAATGTCATACAACAATTGGTCTGCACAGCATCGCTTCAAACCAAACACACCTTAAATCTGCAGTGGTCAGGTGGTAATGTGGTACAAGTCGTAGCTCTCATTGTAATTACAAGTTCTACAAGCACTTGAATGATTTTTACAGTTCAGAATCATTACGGTAATTATGACATGGCATGAACACTCCTTTAAACTGAGTTCTGGAATACTTAATTGTGGTTGGTCAATCACAGATCTCCCGTCAAATAATTTTGCATAATTGCCAAGGAAAGTGCTAGGTCCTTATCAGTCTTTCACGTTCGACGTGACTTGAAAGAGGTGGGGTCCCCTCTGCTATCCACCAATAGTTCCTTTTCCCAGCAGAGGGCTACTTTGGTTTATACATAGGGTGATCTGAGGGTTACAGTGGGTGCTCTCCAGCCGGGCCAGCAGCAGTGTTCACCCAGGCCGCAACATGGAGCTGGTCACAGGAAAGGGACGCAGCCCGTTTCAGTCCTCGCCAGATCCTCCAAGCGAGAGATAGAGGGAGGGAGATGGAGACCCAGAGATGGAGGGAGCTGCTCTTCTGGAGACGGTGGGTGCACCGCTTCTCCCAGAGGAGGGTAGGGTGGAGAATCCTTTGTTGAGTTTGTTTTTTGTTCCGCACAATTTCAACAAAAGAGCAGATTCCACAATCTTTGGGTCCCAAGAGGGCGCGGTTGACAGTGAGCAACGCTGTGACACTCTCGGCCCCCTCTTCTATCGCCAGTAGGCAGGAGTCTGCGCTTCCAAGACGTGACGCCTTCTCATGCGTCTCCTGCCATTCCCTCACGGGAACTGTGCCCTCGTACACTCAGACCCCACTCCAGGACGCTATGCCTTCCGGGTCGGGTCCCTGTCCTCCACCTCACTGCCCCACCGCAGGTACACCTGTGGTCCCACTGGTCCCGCTTGCTCAGTGTCTAGGAGCCTTTCTAGCGCTTTCCAGCCCGTCACGCTGGCTCATTCGGACGATCAGACTTGGCTATGCGATTCAGTTCGCCCTGTGTCTCCCTAGGTTCATTCTGTTCACCTCAGTGGCGGACAAGGATGCTCCTGTCCTGCGTGCAGAGATCGCAGTACTACTGGTGAAGGATGCAATAGAGCCAGCACCTCCAGCCGTCATGAGGTCAGGGTTTTACAGCCCCTACTTCATTGTACCCAAGAAATGCGATGGGTTACGTCTGATCTTGGATCTGCATGGTTTGAATTGGGCCCTTCACAAACTTCCGTTCAAAATTATTTTTAAATGTGTCCGTCCCCAAGATTGGTTCGCAGCGGTCGACCTGAAGGATGTGTACTTTCACGTCTCAATTCTCCCTCAACACAGACTGTTCCTACGCTGTCCCTGTCACCCATGCCCCTTTACGGGAAGTGGGTGTTCGCATCCTCAACTATCTCGACGACTGGCTCACCCTGGCCCACTCGCAAGATCAGTTGTGTGAACACAGGGACTTGGTGCTCAGGCACCTCTGCCATCTGGGGCTTCGGGTCAACTGGGAAAAGAAAAAACTCTCCCCTGTGTAGAGTATCTCTTTTCTTGGTATGGAGCTGGAATCGGTCGCCATGACAGCACGTCTCACAAGTGCTGAACTGCTTGAATCCGTTCGAAGGGCAGGACAGCGATTCCACTGAAGTTGTTTCAGAGGCTCCTGGGGCATATGGCATCCGCAGCCACGGTAACGCCGCTCGGATTACTTCATATGATA